CTTTGTTTAATCAGTATTTTTAGCACATTAGCCACTCTCACTCTGGGGATCGGTATGTTTGCTGGCTGATCCAGCATTTTTGGTCCAGACTGAAATAATTAGGTTGATGACTTGCAGGGGGGGCGCTAATAGTTATACATAAATTCAAGTCCCCTGAAGTGAAATCCTGAATTTTAGCGGTCCCTGACTGCTTCACGAGGTTCACTATGAAGTTTTCTCCTGGTTTAGAGATTCAATTCCCCTTTTGATCTCCTAACTTTCATGTAGCACCACCATCAAGTTTAAATGCAGACAAAAAGTGGATGTTTCCCATGGCTTTAGCTTTGTGTTTGCATACTGAAACAGTGGAATAACATGGTGAGCATGGTAACCATGGTTACCTTGGAAAGTGTCTGCCTTTTAGCAGTGTTATGATGAACAAGTAATTGATAAATGTAGATAACCTACGCTGCCATTCATTCCAGCAGTGTGCCAACCACGGGCTGAAAAATGAATCCACCGCAAAGTATTAAACACTGCAGTTCCTTTTATGGCCACTTGAGGCTGCGTCCAAATAAAGAATTTGCAGAATAAAAGGTTTTGGTCTATATGCACACAAAACACACACACACTCCATCCCCACTGTCTGGGCTTCCAGGGACAATAGCTACAAGATGACAGTAATACAAACGACAATGCAAATAGCAGCTTTATGGAAGGGCAAGCAGGGCCTGTTTTGCTTGCCCTGATGAAATGCCACTGCCTTTGATTGGCAAGATTGTGAAAAAACCTGATGTGGGGTTTAGATAACAGGTTGAGTAGGTAAAGACTGTTTGTCTGTGATGTGTTACTAAAGCTGCTGGGGTCCCCTTTTGCAGCTGCTTTTATTTGTTTTAAAAGAGATTAAAGGTGCTGTAAGCCATGCTGACAATGACAATAATCCAGATGTCACAAGGATGTCCAATTTGTCCGTCCTTGTGGCATATTTCAGTACCAATCCAAATTTATTGTATAGTAATTTCTAAAAAAAAAAAAAAGCTTCCCAGGAAATTGATTAATTTCATAGTATATTCTTTTATTTTACAAACAAAAGGGCTTGTGTGGAGGATTAGGCGTGACTCTCCTGGCCCTCCATAGTCATAGGTGATGAAATGAAAACTTCACTGACAATGTTTTTCAGGAGAGCCAACAGATAGTTTCAAATTATGAACATGTAGCTCTGCTCTCAGTTTTGTTGGAAACTGAAGGTGGCGAAATTAAATCACAGCTGTAATTAAAACGCAGAAATAGGTCCTAAATGAAAGGCAGCTCCATCAGCTTCACTAATTAATTAGTTCTTAAATAGTTAATTAAAAGGAAGCACACTTGCTCAGTGGTTGGCACTGATCACATAGCGAGTAGACTGACTAAGGTGTCGGAGTGCAAGTTGCTCATTCTGTTTCCTCCCACAGTTCAAAAGCATCAGATGATGGGGCTTCCTGGTCTCTTTACTGTTTATGAGCTGTATTTACTGACCATATGAGAGTCTCTCAATCGGTGGAAATACATCTATGTCTACAACAGAAATTAATACAGAAGTCAACTCTTTCATTAATTCTTTTTTTAAAAAGCTTACAAACATGGTTGGAAATCAGATTTCTGAGTTTAACAAGAATACTGAGCCTTTTTATCAAATCAGTATCGTGACTGTCCAAATGTGGGTCATCTTGACTTAAACAGTTTAATTATGAGGCTTCTGTTGATTTAAACATAATTAAATAACTAAATGTTCTTTAGTAAAGGCTCAACCATCCATATTTTTTCTCCGACCCAGTTTTTTTCATTTCATCCAGTGAAATAAAGGCTGCTGGGAAAGTTCTTGTGCATGCTGAGCTTTACATAAGAAATCTACTAATACGATCGTGCTGACATACTATTGAAGAATTTCAGTGGGATGACATCTCTTGTTGCTACAGTGTGTTTCCTGCCAACACTCCAACATCCAAGTGACCTTAAACAACATGTTTACATGTGAAATGAATTCCATTTGCTTCCCACATGAATCCAGAGGAGTTGACAATAAAATACATTTAACATTCGGAGTGAATCTGTCCTTCACTTTATTACTGTTTAATTACAGTTTCTTGAATTTCTTTTGTTGTGCTTCATTGACTACAGTCAGAACATTGAATTCTTTTGTGCTAACAGAATCCAGATTGATGGTGGAATATTGGATCTATTGTTTTGCATCACAGCAAATTATAGCATAATTAGAAAAAAAATGCAAATTTTAAAAGAAATAAATCAGGACAAAAGATGAATAAAGCGAGCATTACTTATGGTTGTAGAAAAATGGGTCACATCTGCACATTGTAGCCAGTCTTGAATGTAAATTTGTGATAATTCATATAAATAACATCACTACCGTACTCTCAAAATATTAGGTGCATGTGTTAACTACTAAAATAACGACCCACACACTAAATAAAACCATAATTTATCAAATGAATAGAAAAGAAAAAGTTATTTTAAAAGGTTTTGCCATAGATTTCCATAGAGCTCAACATTGACCTCCCACTTTTTCAAAGGCTACATTCTGGTATTAAATTTTCATGTCATTTTCTTGAGAAAATCCCTATATAAAGTTTTTATAACTTCACTGCTTTCTCAATGCATTTTTTTCTTACTAGTCTGATGTCAGTTAAGCCCCGCCTCCTACTGTATAAATATGACCTATCAAAAATAATTAGGCATCAAAGTACTCTTGGGAACAGCTGCATGTTCTTAATTCTTATACATCATTTAAAAAACCAAAGATTAATGAGAAAATATATAATGAAATACTTAACCTCCTAATTACATTTTTAAATCCACCCTCCAACTTGCATAAGAACTCCAGCAACAGTTAGCCAAATGTATGTTAAGCTGATGCTAACAAGCTAACAGCCCATTGATAACATTAGCATTTTGTGTTACATAACTTTGTGATTTTACAGGTTATATTTGAATGTCTTTGCATGACTTCCTAAGCTTGTAGGAACTGAGACTGTTGTGGAGGACGGCGCCAATGAGATGAGACTGGTAAGAATAAATGTTACAATTAGGCAATGATGAAAATGTGAAACAGCTATTGTTAAAAATGCCAAAATTTTATCACTATTTAATCAACAATTGCAAAAAAATTGTCCACGTTTTGCAAATTTTAATAGACTTTTAACTTTATACAAGTGCTGTTACTATTTTGTCTGTAGTTTAATTGCTTCTACAGGTCTTCACTTCTTTTTTTCTTGTTCGGTTAGAGAAATGTAGCCTATTTGGCCTTGAACAAGTGCATTAAAGTCAGATTCAGTGTCAGGGACAACCAAAGGGCAGGATGTAGCTGTACAATACCCAGGTCTGGTCTTAAAGCCTTATGTAGGTCTCAGAAGTTCTAGAACTTCAAAGTTCTGTGACCAGAACTTTAAAACAACATCCTCTAAATAAAAACTAGACAAACATAGCAACAGTAACCAAGGAAAGCAGTGCTTTTGTGTAATTATTCCATCTCCATGGCACTGGGGGATAAAGTGCGTCGTTATAAACGAATCAGGCCTCTACCAGATTAACAAAAGCTTCTGCACCTTCCACTCAGCTCTCTCATCTCTGTCTACTTAATTTTTTCTATTCAGCTGATTCAGACTCACTGTGCCGATCTCTTTCAGCAGTTCTGCTCATTGTTATGCAGATGAAGCCCAGTAAACTTGCCTCTGTAAATCCAAATGGGATGAAAGCCATTTCAGAAGTCTGTCACTTCCTCACTGACAAAAATGTCGAATGCCGGTCTTAAATGAACAGCCTGCCTTGCTGTTGGAACACCTGCAGAGACGCGGTGCTGCCATAACAAGGTCCATCAATCCACCCCGAAACGGTGGATGAATGTTATCAGATGTTGTTTTGTCGGTTCTGTCTTCTGCCATCAGTACACTGTGGGGCATTGGGGAAAAGTGTGAACATCAAAAGTTTGTTGTATGAACCTTTTCAAACATCCCTGAGAATATGAGAGACTGCTGGCAGAACTGGGACAGTTGGGAGAGAAAAAAACAACAAAAAACCGTCTTTATTGCTGAATGAATTCTTTGTAATGTAAGATGGCACTGATCCTAGCCGTGGTCTGATCTTCTTTGGTGGTTCGGCCAGCTGTCTCAGCTTTTTTGGCATCTTTATGTATTGTTGAAAACAGACATCAATTTAGGAGAACATGACTATGTGACGAACATCTTATACAGAGTCATCAGGATGAGTCCTCATTGCCTCTTATGTTTTACATTTCATTTATGTTTCATGAAATCTGGGAAATAATCCTTTATACTCAAGCTAATACTATACTAATACTAATACTAATGCAGAATGACTATCAAAAGCTGTTGCAATACAAAAAAGCTTTAATTTTTTGTCAGCAAATGATAGACATCCTATATCCATCCAGTTTCTGGCACTTACATGGGTCTGGGTTGTGAAGGGGGAGGCAGTCGACACTCTTCTCGGGGGACACTGAGGTGTTCCAGAGCCAGCCAAGACCTTTCCAGCATGTCCTGGGTCTGCCCAGCGGGCCTCCTCCTGGCTATATGAAAGACCTCACATGGGAGACGCCCCAGTCGGGTACCAGAACTACGTTAGCTTGCTTCTCCTGTGGACCCGTCACTCATAGGAGGGTATAAGGCCTCCTTCAACTGTGGATTGGGGTGGCACTCAGGGGCAAAGGTCCTGGGAGTCCGATCACCAGCTCCCAAACTACTAAGGGTTGTCCTATCTCTGCATGCACAGTACTGCACAATGCATCTACTACATGATACACCCATTTCGCATAAATCAGTCAATTTGAAGTTATATTATCTACATCTTTGTGGTATATTTCAGTTCTGTTTATAGCACACTCTGATGAAATATTCAATGTGTAAAGTACAAATTGTGCAATAAAATCAAATGTAAGTCAGTGAATTGTGAAAAAGCTTTTATTCCAACTAAGGATGTTACTTTCCCTGAGAAGTTAGCGTACAGCGTTACACAGGATGATCTACAAAATGTAGACTGGTCACAGTTAAAATCCCAGTTTCCTAATTATTCAGGCATACAGGATCTGTCAAAATGACAAAAAACACCACAAAGTTAGTGTTGTAATAGAAATAATATGCAAACTCAAAAGGCACTACCTTTTATTTCCTCCTGCAGCCTTTAAGGCACACACTTTTCATTATAACAGGCTCAGGTCCTAATCTTCTCAAGAAGTACCCACTGTGCATCTGCTCTTTTACCCCCTTTCATTTTCTGTGCGTCAGAGCTACAATCCATCTTTCTGACGTTACCTATTCAAAGTCCCAACAGAGGTTTGATTGCAATGAGCAACTCCCACTCTGTCTGATTTTTTTTCAAACAGTTTAACAGCTGTGGATGTTCGTTCTGTTTAAGGAAAAAGAGCTGACAACAATTCAGATGCTGAATGGTTCACCGTGACCAAATATTTATTCGCCGGTGCAGTCTGACTTAGAGTGAAACTGGTTCAAAGGAAGTGATAGGCGCCAGCTTTTACCACTTTACTTCCCACATTCTGATTCACAGTTTCAATGAAAGCGTAGGCTCCTTTTCTACCAGCTCACATTGTAGTGACATCCACAGAGTCATGTATGTCAATCACCTGAAAGCCCGGGTTATCAATCCCCCTCTTTAGCTGGTTATTGTGATTTTCTTGGCTGTGGTTGTTGTGGTTTCTCTGGTCTACGTCGGCCTCAAAGCAGTGGACGCAGTGTGGAGTGGTGACCCGGACGCTCTTGGAAAAGTTAGAAAAATCCACATGGTACTTTCCTGTCTTGGTGCGGGAGATAATCGGCAGAAAGCTGTATCCCCACTGGATCTCCTGTGGGATGTAGGAAGTTCGGACCTGACAGGAGGAGCTGGTGGACTCGGCTGTCCCATCCAAAAAGACCACCAATTCAAAGTCCTGCTGAGGAAGGGTGTCAGCCGACAAATCAAAGAAAGGACTCGATCTGTTAATCACATGGTACAGGGTCAAGGGGCAAACAAAAAACAAGTTATCCTTGCCAGCATCAACCATGAAGTCAATATCCACCTGGTCCAGGATGATGGTCTCGCCATCCGGTGTGGTCGTTGTCCTCAGCAACTTCCCATAGATCTGGCTTCCGATTAGTAAGGTCTTTCGAAGGTTGGCCACTCTGATCAGGAGACACAGACTTCCTTTCTTCAAGCAGATGACAGCTGTGTGGCTGAAGGTCACAGTCTTTGCCCTTTTCTTTGGTAAGGAGATTTTAGCTAGGATGATACCACACATGAAGCAGTTGATAAAAACCCCAACTAGAGACTGGATGACAATTAGAGCCACCGTGCCAGCACAGTGGCCAGTCAGTGCCCTGCCTCCATACCCAATGGTGGTCTGGGTCTCTAATGAGTACAGGAATGCCGTTGTGAGCCCGTTAACGTTGTCTATACACTGGATGTGTCCTTCAGTGTGGTTCTGTCCAGCCAGATCCCCGTTGCTCTTTGCAATCCAGTACCACAGCAGGCTGAAAATGAACCAGCTGCCTGTGAACACAGCCACAAACAAAAGGAGAACAAACCGCCAGCGAATCTCCACAAAGGTGGTCCAGAAGTCTACCAGGTACGCAAACTGGTTACTGTACTCGATGTTCCCGAACTCAATGTTGCAGTGCCCGTCTTTGGTGACCAGGCGGGTTCTGTGGTTTCGTTGTCCAGCTGGCTGGTTGTGACCCTGGAGCAGCTGGAACATCCTGGAGCTGGAGGAACAAATACAGTTAAGTATTAGAGAGTACAAACTCTCCTCTAGGGAAGTTAATGCTTGCAAAATCACACATGCAACACCTACACATTCAGAAAAAAACCCCTCTCAGTTGACATATTTCTACCTTTATTATCGCTATGACCTTTAGCACCTTTAGTCTTCTTTCAGATAATTCCACCTTTAGTACCTTTATTCTACTGTTTGATAATTCTACTTTTATTACCTTTGTTTTACGTTTGTCAGGGGTTGTTTTTAGTATTGTCTTTTGTACCTTAAAAGGTCAGACTTGTATTTAAATGAACTAGTTTAAAAATTTGCAAAATTAGGTACATGCTGCCCCTTATTTTATAATATGCTTTTTTTCATCTTACTGATGGCTCAAAGCTCCCACAACTACAAAGCAGATACAGAATGAAACTTGTCAGAGTGTAAAATCTTAAAATCTAAGCATTAAATGTTTTGTATTTGACCAAACAAAGACTCTTTCCTGATATTGCACCTAAAATCTAGAAGAAATTGTACTGTACTAAAAGGTACACACAGTTACTTTAAGGTAAAATAATTAGCCCAAGAGAGTAGATTCAGGTTCACTGTTCCGCTGGGACAGAAACTGAGTGTACTATCGTTTAACGTTATCGTTAGAATGAGGAGAAAGTTAGCTGAGACCTTACACAGATAATATTAAAAAAAACATTTGACAGATTTAATGTCCACATAGACAAACAGGGCAAAAGTCAGTGTGTTACACTAGTGATCTGTGTTTCCATGCATGTCTAACTACCAAGAAAATCTAATTTAAAGACTAAAACAAATAATGATTCGATTTTGATTAACAAGTATTTTCTGCGCTGGCCTGTTGCTCATTCCCGTGTGACACGGAGCTCCATTATCATTATAAATCTATTAGAAACATCAATTAACCACTCAGTTTATTACCACAAACACACACACTACATTTAATTTAGATTTAATCACACATACACATGCCCTGCTGCTGTAAATACTAATTACAGGAATTTGTAACTGAGAATAGTCCCTCCACAAATCCACATTTACACCTTTAACTGTTTAAAAAAAACTATGATGCACAGCAAACTACTGAACCTTTTTTTAAATAAAAGTGTAATGCATCTTATGGATTTTAGTTTTGTTTATGAAGATTTACAAATAGAGCAATAAAAAAAACCAGGTTTTGAGCAGAAATATATGAGCAATATGATCATACAGTTTTAGCCAGTTTTGTTAATTAAGGCTTTGTGCTCAAATATGAGATATTATAGGTTTTTTTTTTTAAATTGTAAAAAGAAAATGCATAGATTCCTGTCAAGTAAGGTGACCCAGACTCATTTCTTGCACTGTAAATTACATTTTGGCCCCCCAATGTTTTCTTCAGTAGAAAAAAAGACCACTCACAGATGCATTGTTCTGGTCTTCTTATAAAACATGTAAAACCTGCACCAGGCTCGTTCAACCTTGACCATACAGCCTCAACCAGTAAACAAATGTCAGAACAAGACAGAAAAGGGGGACTAAAATTTAGAGATCGAGGGTATAACAGGTAGAGAATTTCCTTTCTTATCATTAGAATAGAAGTATTTCCAAGATAATACATAACCTATGTATGCACAAATACATTGTACTTATTAACTGATCTGAATGGTCGTTAAATAGCAGAGTATGTACCGTGCAGCGTGTACCGCGTGGTCCACTTTGAGTGTTGCATAAGACGTACTGAATAGATGGCAAAAAGGACCCAAAACTTTAAAAGTTACATATTTTTGGACTGAAGTTTACCCCAGATTGAAAATAACCACAGGTTGTATCTTAAGAGCTATTTGTTCAACATTTAACCGTTTTAACAACTGTTTTTTTTTTTCAGTCATTCATGGAGGTGAATGACTGAAAACGGAGGTAATTTTCTTCCAAGCAGCTACAGTCGCCCTAAAAACACTATGGATAATATATATATATATATATGTGTGTAAAATAAGTAAAGCTTTAGATCTTCAGTTTTGTAGAAAAATAGAAAAGTTTTGTTGGGACATACCTGCTCCGTGAGACCATGGGCCCAAAGTGCTCACTGGATCTCTGCAGGACCTTCAGACTCCTTTCTTTCAGCAAGTGGCCATGGAGGCGTTGGAAAGATTTTAATCCACAGTGAAATTTCCTAATCCCAGCCACATGCCACCATGTACACTGGCTCCATACACTCAGAAGAGCCAGCCAGGGAGCTCCCAGTGGCCGTCAGTCCTCTGAGACCGACAGAAGGACTCTCTTCTTCAACCCATCAAAAAAGTTTAATAACACAACCTCGGGCTTCATCGGGAGTGGGCTCGCCTCGGCTGCAGCAGCTTTTGACAGTGTAGATTTGGGGACCAGCACGAGGAGGGGGGAATGTTCGGGAAGTTTGGTGTAAAAGGCCTCGACGCCTTTGTGTGGCTGAAGGTGCGTCTATTGAAGAGGCCTCAGTGACCGGTGCAAGCACTCATGCTGTTTTGTTTTCAGCCCTGAGAACATTTGAGATTTACGTCAGGCCTCACAAAGAATTCCCTCAGTTGCATTTCCCCTGGTTCCCCTCCCCCTCTTTGAACCTGCAAGGCTGCCTCCCATTTACATCAGAATGAAGAGCTGCAGGGCAAGAGTGTCTGCAATATTCTGCTGGCTGCAGGAGGACCATTTTCATATCTGTGGAGCAGATTACCATGATCTGTGATGCTGAATTGATAAGCCCACCCCAACCCCAGCAGTGATGAATATAAATGCCACAGCTGCATGTAAGTAAAGGGAGAAGGAAGTGGATGCAGAGGGTCTGCAATTCAGATAGAATCTTACAGGCTCCTGTGGCAGCCTAATTTAAAGAAAGTCATCTCACACCCAAGTGTGTTTAGCTCCAGGCGCTGTGCATTTCTAAACGTGCTGGCAGAACACATCTGCACATCACACTCTGCAGGTTCATTGAAGGCAAAGTTCAGCATTTGGAGAAATAAGCTCATTAAGTTTCTTGCCAAGAGTTAGAAAAAGCATGTCTGTATGCTCGATATGAGGGAAATACGACCCTCGACTGAGTTAGCTGTGCAAAAAGAATGGAAACGGCAAGAGGAGCACACCCTGGTTTAGTCCTCCACATCTCACTAATGAACGTTGATTCATACAAAAGGAGAACTGTGTGAATGTGAAACACTATGAAGCAAGCTGAGGTTAAAAGGTGATATATAAGTGCAGACCATTAACAATCATCACATTCTCCCAGCAGGACTCCAAGAAACTGCTGTGACCAACAAAGTCAGAGCACGTCAACTACAACTGTTCAGAGAAAATACTTTATTTTTATAGGTTTTATTTTTATTTTTACACCATTTTTCACTCTAAATGTGATACAAAGTGGATCTTTGCGTGAAGAGGGGGGAAGAGGAAGCAGAAAGAGTTCAATCCAAATCGCTTATCCAGGCCGAGGTCAAAGACACAAAAGTTCGTTCCCAGTATGCCCACCTGTGCAAATCAGGTAAATCCAATGATGACGAGTTCAAAGGTAAGGAAGCAGCAAAAAGACACAAAATTCAAAGAAAAGACGTGACACTTATTTTTTCAATGCAAAGGTTTCAGCCTTGTGGCCTTCAACTGCCACAGGCTAAGGAGGAAAACAACACTTTACAGTTCCTCCATGGAGATCCTGAGATATATATAATCTCTCCAGCAGGTTTAGGCCCTACCCTGGGGCGTCCTCCTACTCGGATTTGCCTGGAAAACCTGGACACATCCAAGTGCGGGACAACATTGCTTGGAAGTGGGAAACCGCGGTTTCCTCTTGGAGCCAAAACTAGGAGGAGAGCATTTAAGGCAGTGTCTAATGGCCAGGCCTGGATGGAGCCGTGGACCCTGTTCACCACCCTCCAGGACAGGCACTGGGGTTGGGTGCACAGCGAGCTAGCGAAGGTTGGAGCCTGGGAGTGTTGATGGTCACATTGTAGATAGCTGCCTCTCCTTGAGCGTGGATCAGCTGGAGGTTTCTTCCTGTTAAAAGGGAGCTTTTCCTTCCCACTGTCACCAAAGTGTTTGCTCATAGGGGGTCATCTAATTGTTGAGGTTTTTTCTCTCTTTTCTCTGTATTATTGTTGGGTCTTTAGCTTAAAATATAAAGTGCCTTGGGGTGACTGGTATTGTGATTTGGCACGAAATAAATAACATAAAATTTAATTTAATTCAGTTGAAAGGAACCAAAACAAGACAGACCAGACCAATCAGAATGGAAAGGAGCACAGACAATCCAAATAAACCATTTAATTTATTTATACTGGGTTCTGTGTCTGCTTTGGCTTTCCACATAAATTATGACAGATTTAATGAGCAGCTTTCTCAACATCCCTTAACTGTAAAATAAACCCCAATGGTTTTAATCGTGTGTACCCTGAGCTGATTTGATGACGGAGGGGGTTAAGTTCAGCCCGACAGCTCACTCATTACCATCTCTGTGATGAAAACATGATCCACTTTCAAGGCAGTTTATGAATTGCTTTCCGGTAACTTTGGCAGAGGGGCTTTTGTCGTAGCTCTGCTTTCATACTTACCTCAGAGGCAGTGAAGGAACCTGTTGGTGGGGTTTTGCCGGTGACTGACTCTGCCGTGCAAAATGATTCATTCTTTGCTGGTTTGCTGCATTGAGCGGCAGGAAGCTGAGATGTGGAGGATGCGGAGGTGTCTGGTCTGTGGGGAGCAGGATGGTTCATAAACTCCTCTGAAGTTGCAAGGCGAAACCACAAATAATGCAAAATTGTTTTTCAGCGATGGAAGGCAACACTTGCAGGTGCAATTAGTCCCAAACTTGTCGCTGTGTGCTGCTCGTACTTCTTCTGCAGCACCTGGCAGTCCTCTTCACTGTTTTTAAAGAGGGAACAGCTGTGCCATCCTGAACGATCTGGTGCCTGTCTTAGGTGTGATAAATTAACCTAAACTTGTAGAGTTTTCTGTAATTTAAAAATTATAGATGGACTACTATGTGGGAACAGTGGAGCCCTGAAGTCAATCAGGGCCCTTCACCAGCACGTTTCTTAATAATTAGTGTCACTTTTGATCAAATTCACAACATGGTCCAATGGGGAAAGATATTGTATCATTTTTATGACACACCAAAAAATACATTTTACATGTTTTACGTGATGGCAAGCTACATTGTAGCCACAGCCGCCCCGGAGCAGCTGTGGCTACAATGTAGCTTGCCATCACCAGTGTGTGAATGTGTGTGAATAGGTGGATGACTGAATCTGTAAAGCGCTTTGAGGTCCTTAGGGACTAGTAAAGCACTATACAAATACAGGCCATTTACCATTATTGTATTTACGTAAGTGATCTCTCTATCACTATCTCTACCACTAATTGAAAACAACAAATGGTTCACCTCATCTTCAGTTTCTTCAGTTCTAAAACCACAAGATAAAGAGTCCAAGGTAGTGGGGGTTGTCCCTTAGACCTACTAGGGCCAGTTTTCGCCTTTTCCCCTTCTTATGCACCTCATCACTGTGGTGTACATCCTTCTTCCTAAAAAGCATTATTGTAGCCAGTTAATTCTTTCCCCTGACCTTACAGCAGTATTCTTTTTTTTTTTATCATCCACACCAGTGTGACATTTTCCAGTTTGAAAGGTTAATTTTTGAATATATTTAGAATAAACAGATCCAGTCTTGGTATGAAAAATGAAAAGTCTGTTTTGAAACGTTCAGACTCCGATCTGGCATCCAGACCGCAGCTCCTGCTGCCTACATGTGTGCCCCGAAGAAATATTAACTCGCATGATAATCACAGGCAAAATATACAAGTGGCAGCTGTGGTACTGACTTGAATTAATCACCTAGCTCTGGGTTCTAAATCTATACAGAGTTTGCATGAAACATGTCAGAAGCGATGACGCTCCAAGCTTAAAATTACCCACTGAAATGGCGCCATCTGCTGCATGTTTTGTGTAAAACACCAGGAACTCCTGCATAAAAGACTATTGTTTTGTTTGCAGTGCTCGATAAGAAAGTAAGGCGGATGTTTTTAAGAAATGAAATGCTTTGAGAGTGTCTACATATAAGGTCTTATTTTGAAAAGGTTCAGTAGCTGTATATTTATGATCGTACTGACCACCTGCTGTGCCGCCTTTTATGCGCTTTTTAATCACACAAATTCAATACAGAGTAAACATTCTGACAGTAAATCATACTGAGAGAAAGCAGATAACACCACCTTATATATGTTCACACATTTAAGTGTATGACAGATATAGTTTTTCACTTTCAGTAAGCAGATGATTGTCAAAGACATTTTTTTAATGATGTTTTTTAAGACATGGAAACTGCAAAGTTCAGCTTACACAGGATAATCCGATGATCCTGTCACTAATTAGTTATTTGGAAAATTAGCTTTTCTTCTTTCTAAAGTTAAATGAGTCACTGCACCTTTTTTATGCCTATTCCTTCTGGAGATTTAAAAGAGGAGCAGCGGCAACAAATGAAGGAAACAGGAAGTCAGGCAACAACTCCACGTTTTTCTTGAAAAATTGTCTTACTGATAAAAATGTAATTACACTGATCAATACAACACAATTACAGTATATTGATCAAATTAGAAAAATACACAAAAAGTATACAAAGCTGTTAAAAGTACCACAGTTAAACCGTTGCATGGGACAGCACATATGCATCTGATGATGTTTCACTCTAAATTTGCACGTTCCGACTGCGTAACGGTACCAAACAGCCGAGTTCAGTGGAAATCTGGAAAGCAGAAGTTATTCCTGTTACTCTGTATCAGGAGTGAGTCAGCTGCTGGCTCACCTCCATGCATATTTTTTGTCTTCTAATGAAGAAGCATCTCTTAGTTCCACTTTATTCTCAGTGGTTCCTCCTGCTGATTTCTTTAGAAAGGAACATTATTGCCTCTGAAATCAGACTAATAAAAGATACTGGTGCTGCCAGTAAGGTTCATTATTAAATGAAATCAAATGATCATTTAAAAGAATTAAACTCTTGATTTAAAACATGTTCTATATGCACGGAAAAAGTCCAAATTAAAGGATAATTCAGTTCACCACACCTTTGGTCTCATCACAGCAATAAGCGGGGCGTGGCCACGTGACCGGCTGACGGTGCCCACTCAATTCAACGCTTGATAGTTTACCAAATTGAAATGCACAGAGGAGCCAGTCAGTTTCAAAATGAAAGACCCCGAGCAGAGTAGGTGCTCTGAATCTGAAGCAAAATCTTGTAGGAAGTCATTTCCAGGGTTATTATATTAAATATGACACTTTTACTATTATGGTTTATAACATAGTCTGAGCAACAGTTTTACTGTTTGCCTTTTTTGTGTTTAATGTCTTTAAGATCTTAAATAGTGTTTTCTGAAAATTTGTGTGCCTGAGAATTGGAAAAAATTCAAATCTTTAAGAAATGTATCAAAATCCAGGCTGAAAAAGTAAAATTTAGGGCATACTGACTCATTATTTTTGGTAACATCCATTAATACCCTAATTTATTTGTTTTTTGTTGTTGTAATTTTTAAAATTGAAAAAGTGGGATCACTAATACATACATTTTTTCCTTATTATCAGATTATAAACTACAACAGAAAGTTGTAAAATTGATTAACAATATCAGCTATCATCACCATTTGGCTGTGATAATTGTGTAGTGAAGATTTGAGGCTGTGACAGCCAAATAATTTAATTTTAATAACTAAATCACACGTCAGCTACACATCAGAAAAAGCAACATATAAATACCTTTAAGATACGGGACTCATTTATGTCTTTCAGTGACACATCAGAGAGATCACACTATGAAAAATCTTATTTAAAGAACCAAATAAATGTTCTCTGAACCTGCTGTTGTGAGAACTGTGTTAAAATCTTTAAAGACGAATCTTTTAAAAGGCCCTTTCATTATTTTGTCACTACCTGGCAGGATGTCTAATAATAACCTGAGACATCTGTCCACTCTGACCTCTTTGCAGTCCCAAATGGTCAGGAGACATTATTCCCGCAGCTCCTGAAGGCTGGAAATGTGCCGTATTCGGGCCTTTTCTTAAATCACTGAGGTTTTGCTTTTGCTTATCTGGATTGTAGAAATTATACTACCCAGATCTTATAAATCAATTTGTGTCATTAAAGTTATGTTTCCAGCTACAAAAATAAGACTTAGGTTATAATAATTTGGCTTCGGCAGGATGTGAAAGATATGATTTCAGGGTTCGGCTCAGCTACACGATGTTCCTCTCCAGCTTTGGTTCCTGCGTCAGAATCCGGTTGAAACTGAAGCCGCTCAGGTCCAGCGTTTTATAGTTTCCGTCCAGAATCAGCTCCGCCACAGCGCGACCCACCGCAGGCGAGTGCTGCAGGCCATGGCCGCTGAAGCCCGTGGCGAAGTACATGTTGTTGATCAGGGGGTGCGTACCGATGATGGCGTTCTGGTCAAAGGTGTTGTAGTCATAGAAACCTGCCCAGGCACTGGTCACCTGAGGGGAAGAATGTGAGGACAAATTATGTTATTGTAAGTGATAAAGAGAGATCATAATCATTGTTTTGTTTTGGAAAAGCCCATTTCTGTACCAAGTTTCTAAATTTAACTCACTTAAAATATGGATACAATAAAATTAATCTGCAAGCTTCAAAATAAAACCAGTTCTGGCTGATAATAATGCTGTAATGCTGGCAGTAACCATGACGTGGGTGACCACACTTTCCCAACTGTACCTTAAGTTTCTCGAAAGCAGGAACTCGAAAGGCCAAATGAGGCCAGACATTCTCCTCAAAGAAACTGTGGTCCACCTCTAGATTACTGGCGTCTGGCTCTGCCGCCTGAGGACACACAACCAGTGCAAACAACGACATGATTTGCTCAGCTGTTGAATGTTAACATAAGGAAACAGCTCAGACGTCTTGATGCATTCTCAATCATCCAGGAAAGTAAATCTCCAAAAGTTGATTCTGTTCATCTGGACGTAGCATTTGAGTTCCTCCAGGGAGAAACGCTGGTGTGAGCGCGGAGTCAAGGAGGCCATTTACGTGAAAAGGGAAAGACCATCTCTGAATCGAGGAGGGGGCCTAAGGGTACATCTGTCGCCGTCTTACAACGCTGTGATTGCAGCCATTCCCCAACTCTCTGTGAATGGTACTCATGGCCATTGACCAGTGGTTGTTGATCAATGGTCATGAGAATTTGCATAATTACGATTAAGTAACTGACCTCCCAGCCCATTGTTCCTTCAGTGGGCTGGTTTCAGTCATTAGTTTATAAGATTGGGAAAACCTGCAGTCAGCTGAGACTGAAGAAGTCACTTGGAAGAGTGACGAAATGTTTCTCCCACAAAACGCTACGTCCAGATGAACAGAATCAACTTTTGGAGAAACAGCTCAGAGATAAAAACCAACCTCCTCTGGCGAGGCCCCGGTGATGTAGTTCCCACCTAACCCCTCTCTCCTGACGTAAACTCCTGAGTAATCGATTAAGAAAGGAGTGTCTAGACCGGGACCATCAGGACAGCGGACCACATACACATACCTGAAAAACAGTGACGAAGTAAACAGCTCAGAGTCGTACATCCAGTATGATATTATATCAGCTGATATTTCATTTCATGCCAAGATGTAAGTGAGGTTTCTCTGGCATGAACGTGATCAGACATTTACTCTGTTCTGCGTGGAAAAGTGTCTACAAAGAATTATCCAGAGAGCTCAAAACTCTGTCTTATAAAATGTTTATGTGATGGTTTGACAGCCGTTCAAGGTGGCACGAGGAAAGATTTAGTGGAGGTTTAAATAAGGCAGAAAAATGGGTAGCTTTTCAAAACACAGCCCACAGCTTAAGGTGAAAGTTTAATTTAACATGTGGCTTTTCTGAATTCATGCCAGGTAACCTTCAATACCTAAAAATACCATGCCCCAATGATTACTTAAAATGTGGGTGCAGGAAAGCAAGGAAGCAACATTTGGGAGTTTTAGAAGAAATAGAAGAAAAAAGTATCAAAAAAATCTGTCTCTTGTTTTAATGACATCGAATTTTTAAGGGTGTGGGCTATATTATAGACTATACTAACCTTTCCTTCTTTAGTTGTAATTACACAATATTATTAAGGATACACGTTATATTATAGACTAGCCTAACCTCCTTTTTTTAGATTGCAATGTATAAATGAGGTAGGTAGGCTTTTTTATAATACGGTCTGCACTGTGTTGTATATTTACAATTATAGAGAAACCTAACGTCTCCTTACATTATAATTGTACAGCAGTATCAGGGGTGCAGGCTGTATTATAAAGTATCCGAACTTTCCCTCTTTACATTTTTCTTCTTTCGACTGCTCCCTTTAAGATTCAGCACAGCAAATCATCTCCCTACATCTCACCCTATCCCGAGCATCCTTTGTTCTCAGCTAACAGTAGCACAGTTTCCATCAGCACTCTGTTAGCCAAAGCCAATGGAGGTGGTCTTTGTCAAGCCGAGCTCAGACCGATTTGGTATGGAAATCTCATTTTTTGATTTAATGGTGAATGTCCTTTCGTATTAAACACACCCATTTATCCAAGTTTGGGACTGGCAGTAGGGGTGCAATGGCTCTACCTAAATCTAAAGCCACCATTTACACAGAATGCTTGAGTCTGATGGCATACATACTCAAACAGTCCAGGTCATGCCGACTAAAGTTATGTGACTGACTCGCTTGTATCCTACTTAGATTCATTTTTATCTGTAGTCTAAATGATGCAGAGCAAGAGTAAAATGAAAAGACTGCAGATGGTAGACGCTGACAGGCAGCGGCATGAAGTTGGTTTTTCAATTTTCGGGGTGCAGAGTCTGAAAAAAGCTGTCTGGTATTGATGCGGTTCGCTGTATGAGGCGCTGCCTTTCAAAGAAAACTCTAGCAGCCCCTCGAGTCAATAGCCTACCTTTTCCGTGGCTCAACAGGCAGTGGGATTCCAGCGATGGACTGCTTGGGGCCAAAGCCAATTCCCAGCATCTCGGTCAGTTTACCAGAAAAGGCTCCTGCTGCATTCACCACAATAGCACACTCCACTGGCTGGTACTCCAGGCTGTGTGGCATCTGCACCTGCTCGACACAAGCAGACATCCCATCATCAGAGGTGGGAAAAAAAAAAGAAGTACAAACTTTTTACTTTTACATTTTCAAAACAGGCCCATTAATTTTGGTTTGACGTACTTGAGAGGAGTTATTTTTTCACGGCACTGTGAGCCTTCAAACATCAAACCGATTTGAGTCTGAGCAGGAACACATGAAAGGCAGCCCTGCACGTGTATTAATCACCAGGAGATGTGGCATAAAAAGAGATGAAAGAGGGGGGAAAACTGTGTGGCATAGTTAAAGAGGTTAAAATGGGACGGTGTTTTTATTTATTTATTTTTTGGCACAACACCGGCATGACTGCAGGTGTCCATAAGTCGCTGTACTTCAGCATCTCGCTAGCCACACACAAAACAAGCGTGCATAAAGATCTAACATGTTGCTTCAAGTTGATAGCTAAAGGTCCAGCTGCCGTATTTCACAGGGAGAGACAAGTACAGAATTATGTACTTTTACCTCCTCTACCCATCATGCACGTTTGTGCTTTTTCTGATTCAGTGCACAGTTTTAACAGAAGTATTTCGTGCCAATCAGTCAGCTGGAGCTTGAATTCCATATTTTCATTCTTGGACTCTTAGCAGAGTAGCTCAGCATATTTCACAGATCAAAATAATTCTAATGTGAAGGTTGGCCGGTTAAAGAAATCCTTTTTTAGCACACAATATTTGTCAAATTGAGATCAAAATTCCATAAACAACATACAACCGTACTAATTATTTAAAATAATATCCCAGAAAGGACAGCACTGTTTCAGCTGCTCAAGAGGACACCAATAGCAATAGCTGTGAAGAGTTTTTAAAATGGCTGATTGTTGCAAAGCAGTATTGTTTAAGGGAAGAGCAAGACCTTCACCTGAGGTAACAGAAAACTGCAGAGAGCTACTTGATGACCTCTGGGAAATATGTTTCCAGGTTTCTTCAGTGAACATGCAGGAAACGTTGGTTAATGACTGATTAGTCTACAGATTATAATAATCCTTTGGTAATATATTGTGCAGTGAAGGATCTCTATGCTGATGGTAATATTTCCTCATCTGGACAGATGTCAGACAGTTTAGTCGTCCTAAGACACATTTCTAACGACGTAATGCAGCTCACAAGTTTTATGGCTTCCCTTTCTGACTCCTTCCTGCCTGCACTCCACAATCCCTCCTGGATTTAGTGCTCTAAAAAAAAAAAAAGGTATTAAAAGCACCACAAGACAAATTTATGAGGTACTTAGTGCCAGTAATCAGGCGGTGTGGGACACATTAAACAGGACGAGGTCACCTGGGAAGAAATTGCAGTTGATATATGGTCTGAAGGGATTTGAAGAACATGCCATCCATCTGTTGTTATTCAGACTTCACACATTCATTGAGAATCAGCAGAGCTTTTGTACGCAATAATTTTAGTATATTTAATGATACAATAAAGTTTTACTTGAGCAGTTGAAGACACTGCACTGCACAAGTGTCACAGCAACTGAGAATTCCCCTCTAAAGCTTAGTAAACATTAACATAAGTGAACCAAACCGAGGGAGGTACAAGTCAGAGACTTCTCTAACATGTTAGCGATCACTCAGAATAATAAATAAACAGCTTTATACGCTTCGCTAATCTCACAGACATTCAGCACTTGCAGTTCCACTTACTTTGACTGACTTTATTCTCCTCAGATCCAGCTTTTCTCCATCAGTTGTCGTTATCACGCTTGTCGTATATTTAAATTCTGTGTGAGAAACACATTAAAACCAATTTTCAACACAAAGAAAAAGAAGAAGAAGAAGTTACTTTCAGCTGCTCCCTTATTCACAACGGGTCACCACAGCAGATATTTGATTTGGCAGATTTTCACACCCTTCCTGAGACAAAACACGGGGGACTTTTGTCTCCTATTGGGATCCAACCTTTTGCTATTTAGGCGAATGTAGGAACTGAAATACTCATGTACGGAAGCCCGGAGTTGCCAAACAACTAGTTGTTGTTTTCTGAGATATGTTTTTCTTTCTTTTTTTTAAATCAGCTAAATTATTTCAGGGCTGCCAAATAACACCAGATTTTCAAAATAAAAATCATTTTTTTCAATCAATCAATTAAAAGAAGGGTGGCATGTGGAGCCAATGGGAACTCACTAACGGAAATTTGCCACATTAACGCGCTTATGGCGTTAACGTCATTTTAACGAGATTAACGCTGACAGCATTAAAATACATTTAAAGTTAAATTATATAGAATAAAAGAGAATACATTGTTGGATCATTCATTAATGTGTATATGACTTTAACGATGCACATAGAGATGATTTTAATTGCTTATTTACCGCCTCATAGCTTATCTATCATAAACATATTACTTTATTTATGTTTTAAAACTACAAAAAATGGTGAGTAACTACAGTTTTAAAGCAAAGTTTAAATTTCTACATCCTAATCTTGTCCCTCCACTTGTTCTATCAGTCCTCTCATCCAACGAATGATGTAAGATTAATATTTCTCTAAAGCCATGAAGAAAACTGCCTGAGGAAATCAGGTCAGCAGAGTCAGAGACTTCCTCTCTTCTTAAGACAGAGAAAACCTCTGATTTTATTGGTCTGCTCTGTGTGAATATGTGATACGAGTGAATTCTTTTTATACAGATGCCTGTGTAACATAACAGTTTTGTAAAACACAACCTCAATCTCTGTGTAACACACAAGGTGTCCTTTGGTGCCTTGAGGCTCCAGCTGTGGCAACATCAGTCACCAAGGGATAAACGTCCTGGTTTAGAGACCTACAAAGCCTGTGCTAAGCAGCTGGAGGGTTTTTTTGTTTTGTTTTTCTTATTTATTTATTTTTTTGAGGGGGGGAATACGCTCCAGATTTAAAAGCAAGGAGACAGCGTTTCACTTCCCAGTGGGATCACTTTGTTCCCCCTTTGTCACCCCCCTGGTTCTGTTTAGGCACTAAAAACTACCCACTGAGCTTTAGGAAAAGATTGTGTTTTTTGTTTTTTTTTTTAAATCCACCACTTCATAATGGTGAATAGTGAGTTTTTAGACTCGTCTCACTTATGCTAGAACAAGGTGAGTCGAGGACAGTGAATCCCTATTAATGGAAAGAGAACGGACCGGTTGCTGTTGATTTTGTGGTCTGTTTGTTTTGTTAAGAGTGCTAGTATACAGTGTTGGGGAGTAACGGAATACATGTACCGCCTTTACGTATTTAAAATACAAAATATGAGTAACTGTATTCCGTTACTGTTACCGTTGAAAAAGGTGGTATTCAGAATACAGTTACTTTGTTGAAATAAATGGATTACACGGCGGTACTTCCCTGTTTCATATTGTCGCCGGTCAGGACTGTTTGGGTTTTGTTTGACAGCTATGTTCTGTTGTTCCAGGCGGCAGCGTTACGGTTGCCATGGTTACAGGGTGACGCTCTCTCTCTGCGTGTTTCCTCGGTGAGAGAGCGCCTTTTTGTTGTTGCTGTGCTAAGCTAATAGGCAGAATGCTACAGGTATAGCTCTAAAGAATGTAGCATCATAGGCAGTGTAGTCCGTGCTGCAGGGAGAATGGACTGCCATACCCGTTATGTGTCTGTGAGCGAGGGAGGGAGAAAAAGGAAAAGTACGAGCTGTCATCGAGCAAAGACGGGAGCTGGAAGCATGTAAATATAATAACTAGAAAGCGAAAATTTCAGAAGAAATTTTAAGTGTGCCTATGCCGCTGCTAATCAGTGTAGTTTGCCATTCATACGGCTACAGAGAACAAAACTCAGCAGAGCAGCCATTCTCCACCATGAACTATGGTAAAAACAAACACTGCTCACGCCTCACAAATGACAGCTTACAGTTTTGTGTAAAGATGAGGTGACTTCGTACAGCCCCGATTTGAAGACGCTGTGCACACAGGTTCATGAGCAGAAGTCCCATTGTACCACAGCAGACCCAACAATGTTTGCATGAACACACTTTGAAGCATTACGTTATGGACCAATTTTCACACATGGTTGGTGTACCCACACAGAGGGCTGTAGCTTTTCAACTCACAGCCCAACACACACCCAAAAAACAGCCGAGAGAGCATAGACTTTACGCCCGAGAGACGTGATTGCAGATGCCGCTCAGGTGGGTCCACCTCCCCTGCAGCGGCACTGCAGACCACGTCCCGCCACATACATCAAACACGTAAAATAAATATTTATGCACTTTTGCATTCACTTTTTGTTTTTGTTATTTTTACACAGTGTTCTGAATGAATAACAATGGTCTACAGCCAGTCTTGTGTATTATTATACAAACTTTGGTTGTAAGATTCAGATAACTATTTAATAAAAGCTAAATATTTTATATGAGAGTAAGAAAGAAAAGTATATCTTTGTGCCCCAGTTACCAGCTGTCAGCTGCTTAGAAAAGGATCCTGGTGTTATTTGTCTCTCAGAAACAGTTCATAACTTCCCTTCAACTCATTCATGTCACCTAAAAGGTAAACCTGTTTCTCCATCACCAGTTCAGCTCTGATGATTCAGTAAGGACATCTCCTGGTTTCGACCAGCCGTTTTTACAGCTGTGGCTCCAGCAAACATCAGCTGATACTATAAATTAAAATCAAATGAATTCTAACAACAGCTGATCAAGCTTAAACGCGCTGCTGTTGTTTAGCGCGATAAACAAACAAGAGAGAAAAGCCGATCATTGATCAGTTTCATATTTGAAGTTGCAACAGGCGAGAGAATGACAGGAAGACTCCGCTCTGCAGCATAACGACAGAATAAATCCAGCTTTGTGTCTTTTTCCATTCTACCTGAAGTCCGGGACAAACTGCGTTTCTTTTTCAGCTCAATACGAAACGCATAATATTTTCTCTGAATGCGGGACGATTCCGTTTGTACGGAACGGTTGGCAACTCTAAGAACTAACCCTTATGAATAAAATAAAGCTCAACATCAGTAACTTAGCACGCACACAGCTGTATAGAAACTCCGTCGTGCTAGCTAGCATGCAGTACGAGTTATTGTAACTGAAACGAAACGAGTGTGAGTCGCCCCACTGAAAGCCAAGCCCGGGTGCTTTTGAGTGAAGCCGCGCTAGCTAGCCGGCTAGCAGCAACATCGTAAGAGAACTGTTGCTAATATGGGATGTCTTGATAAAACGAGCAGATATTTGAAGTTTACACAGCTACATTCTCACCTGAAAATATCTTAAAAGTTTATTTTGTGACCTAGAAACACTAATAAAAGCAATATATAAAACGAAGAGGTGGCCGCCATTGTTTTACTCGGCAGAGGTGTGCTATGAATTGTGGGATATGGAGTTTTCCACTAAGCATACACCCTTGCAGTTACCGTAACTATTCAATGGTTCGCGCAACCTTAAAAATTCCAATGGTTCCTGAAAGCAGCGACGATGTGCGCGCCGTTGATATTTTCGTCATTACGGTAATCCAAATAAGGGTAGACAGGCCGTACCACTCTAAGCATACCACTAGAGAGCGCCAACACACCACAAATGAAGTTTGAAATTTGTTTCAGTGGGACCAAAAGATGGAGCCAACACACCACAAATGAAGCCTTCCCATTCATTTCAATGGGCAAAAACTTGCATTAAAATATTCATATTTAAAAAACTATAGAATTAATAAACACCAAAAGTCATGAGTTACACGGCGAAATTTTAGGCGGAAAAAGGAAAATAATAAGAATAAGAATAATAAATCCGACGAATAGTAATAAGTGTGCCTCTTGGCATAGGCACACTTAATAACCACTGCAGCCAAGAAGAGTGCCCGACGAGCCCAGTTGTAAGTAAGCTATTAAGACTCAATTGTACACTGTGTTGTGTTTTCCTCCGAAACAATAAGTTCAGTTGGAGCAGCCTTTCAACGCCTCTCTCTGTAGAGCAGAGTTGACCCACACAACAAAGTAAAGCTATTTTTTTGGCTATGAGCCCGACACAGAACCCTGCGTATTAGTCAGAGGTCCCTTTACTACAGTTCGGAGCCGCGGACCTTCAGTAATAGTAATAAATCACAGCAATAGTACATTCACGTAGTTGTAAACAGCATGATAATATATTAAGTAATCCAAAGTATTCAGAATAAGTTACTCTCATTGAGTAACGCAACGGAATACGTTACAGAATACATTTTGGGGCATGTAATCTGTAATGGAATACATTTTAAAAGTAACCTTCCCAACACTGCTAGTATAAATGAAAATGACTGGGTTGTGTCCCCAGCTACATGCCTATGGCAACAATATTATTAATACTGATTCATTTTTTTTTAAAATTAGAAACACCTAAAATACACTCTTACAGCTGCTCCACAGGCAGTGCTTCCACCCTGTTTAATTTAAGCTCTGTATAAGTGAAGATTCTTATTAATTTTATAGCTATTCTTATATTTTCCAAATTTATAAGACTGATGTCGCACAAATGAAAACCCTGATTTGTCCAAAATAATTCAAAAACAAACATTCGGTTTATACAAAAACTATAAATCTTAAACACTGAATAGGATTATAACAAGTTCTTAGCAGACGTATTTCCCCTGTGTGTGTGTGTGTGTGTGTGTGTTTGTGTGTGTGTGTGTGTGTGTGTGTGTGTGTGTGTGTGTGTGTGTGTGTTTGTTTGTTTAGTTGTCAGGATGCTGTAACGAACCTGTGACTTCCCCACAGCACTGAATGGCTCCCATGGAGATGGCCTTCCTCTTAAAGGCGTTCAGCAGAGTCCATGGGTCAAACCAGCCCTCATTCTCCAGCCCTGCATGACAGAAGATCAGACAGACATTCACAATGGTGCGCACGATTACTGAATATTACAAGGAAATCATGAACAACTGGATAAAAGTACTAAAACTGGCACATTTTCTCTTTTAAATAATTCATTTGATAAACACCATTAGCCACTTGAAATATAACATTTCTGGTTTTCTGGTTATCGATAAGTGATGCCAGACTTCAGGGAATAATACTTATCGAATATTACAATACTATTAGTACTATAATATGCCATGACTAATAGTAATAATTGAGAGAACTGCTGGAGCTCCTGAGATGTGAATAGTTTCCGTTTCTTACTGACTGTGACAAAAGAAGACAAATCAGGATCTAAAACTGGGCTGTCAGAGAATAATTAGGCGACTCCACACCACTATCATCTAATATTAGCAGATGGAAAGAACTGTCAGACGCCCTGATAAGTTAAATTACTGTTGGCTGCAGCTTTGCATTACTCAGATTAGTTTTTCTAAGGTCTTAAAACGAGAGTGTGTCATAGGCTCATATATCACAGTTAATCTTCTGCTTAAGTGTTGCAGATTTCTTAAAAATCGTGACCCAAATGATGGTGTTGGGGATTTTTGCCTGGATGGGAATCCAGTGACGTAATTGGGTGTGCAAACACAGATTAATGAATGCTTTTGCGCCTATTTTTCACTTATATATTTGGTGTGTATTTGTTACACTGGTTGTCCCAGGACAGAGCTGCAGACTGTTTTCAACATTAGTGGAAATTCTCTCCAAGAAGAGGAAGTCAAAACTTTAGGCGTTAATAAAAACTCTAATGGGATTTACAGGTGCCACGAGCTAAAGCACTTTAGCTTTAGTCTGCAGAACACGAAACAGCAGCAGAGAAAGTCACACTGTAGATATCCAGCTCAGTTAAATACAAACAGATAAGAACAAAATTCAGAGCCAAATATACAGTTGTGGTCAGATGTTTACACATGTTCTTCATGGGCATGAATGTCATGGTAATTTGGGGCTTTTAATGATTTCTTTGAACAGTTATTTTTCCAGTGTGTGATGAATGTACAGCACACTCCTTTAAGAAATTTAAAAAACAAGAATTGGGTGCACAGATTTTTATTTATTTTGGATTTCATCAGGTCAAAACCTCTGCATTCATGCTCAAATATATACATGCACCTCCACTAATATCTGTTTAAATATCCATTAGCAAGTTGTACTTTAACCATCACAAGCTTCTGGCTGGAGTGTTTCTGGTGTGTTTCCTAGTAAAGATGTGCCTTTTAAGCACAGTCCACAAATGTTCAATAAGGTTGAGGTTGATCTTTGGAAAGGCATTTCCAGAAGCTTAACATTCACCTGCTTTATCCATCCCAAAACCAGATGTGAAGTATGTTTGGAATCATTTTCCTGTTTGAACATCCAACAGTGTCCAAGTTTCAACCATCAAACTGTTGATTTGAGTTCAAGTTGAAAAATTTGGAGGTAGTTCTTCATTATTCCATCCGGTTGGTGTAATAAAACAGCACCACTGGCAGCAACACAGCCCCAAGTGATGCTACCACCACCGTGCTTCACAGTTGGTACATTGTTCTTTGGTTTGAATACGTCGCCTTTACTCCTTCATAGATGTGGCCAGATAGCCTAACCTTTGTTTTATCTGACCATAAAACTTTTCTCTAGAAGGTGAATTTCAAATTTCAGTTGAGCTTGAAGGTGTCCGGTTTCAAGCAGGAGCTTCTTTCTTGGTCAGCACCCTTTCAGTCCACGGTGGCGTAAAACTTCCTCTACTATGGACAGTGGCGTTTGTGTTCTAACAGTTTCTGGTTTGTAGCACGTTCGAGCCTGTTTGGTTTTTCCAGATCTTGGTAAAGTGGTGACACATCTGAATAACTTGGACTTACTTATGAAATGATCTTAGACTTGTTGTTTAAAAATAGGCTTTCCAATTGTTCTGAGTATCATCAGTGCTACCAAACAAATTCTTTTTATGCCAGAAAAAATAAAATAACAGCTGCATTCAATCATGATCAGTGATGAGAAGCTAACATTTCTTGACCTTGTCTGGTGTGGCTGCTGATAATCATTACAGACCTTCAGTTCACATTTTATTTGCACTCACCGTATGAAGCAAGAACCACACCCTCTGTGTTTACCCACGGAAACTTCTCCTTCAGTTGTGTCGGAGACAGAAGAGACACTTTGGCTCCAGCGTACCTGAAATGTGAGTTAAATTTTAGCTTCCTGATATCCCAAAAACTCACAAACTTAGCAACTAATATGTAACTAATCACAGAATAAGATGAAAAATGTCCTTAGTGTTTTTATTGATTCATTCTAGCACCTTACAGAAATCCTCTAGGACAGAAAATGGAAAAATGTATAATTTATAAACCCTATGGCTGTTTTATGAGTTCAGTTTCTTTCCAAAATGTAAATATATCAGGACATTTTTAAAATTAACTGCAACTCTGAAAATTAATAATGGCAAATGACCGTTCACGGCCCTTCACGTTACACACTGTGGGTTTTTACTGTGGTATGAGCACTGGTTTCTTGAGCCTGATACCTTTGGGTGCTGTAGTTCTCCTCCATGATGTGAGCCACCGCCTCACTGGCCAGGAAGAGGTATCCCGAGTGGTTAAACTGCAGGTCTATGGGGTCTTCGTTCAACACACCGAGATGCTCCTGACGGGATTCAGAGGTGTGACAGTTTGCACTCTTTAAATAAAACATTTAACTGCATTTTGTATTTAATATCAAAATTTGTTTGATGATCTGAGACATACAGGAAAAATCAGGAAGGGGGGGAATTTTTTCACAGCACTGTATGACAGAAAAAAGTATAATAGGTCCTCTTTGATCTCATCTGACATGGCTATGAAGTGTTCACATATTAACAAAGCACATGTTCTGTCACATTTAATGATTAAAAGCCTCATTGTTCATTTCCAGTGACCTACATTGATGTTCCTTATGAAGTCGGCAGAGGCCAGGGAGAGGTGGATGTTCTCCGGCAGGGAGAACTGCTGTCGGATCCCCCCAGCAGATAGCACTGTGGAGGCCTGGGAGTACTGCGAACAGTCAGGGGGAGCAGTTTATGAATATGAGGAGGAAAAGGCAGAGGATTAGTTTGAACAGCAGTGAGGACATGACTCATGAGCACAGTATGATCCTTTCTCCTGACACTTTGAATAGATTTAAATCATGCAATTTTTTGAAAGGAATAAAGTGACACTGCTAGTCTACACTCATTATCTCTCAGTCCCTCACCGTTGGGTCCTTTTCCACAACCAGGACCCGCACCCCTCCGCGCACCATCTCCTTCTGTTTCAGCCAGTAGGCGATGGACCAGCCCACCACCCCGCCTCCCACGATCACGATATCCGCCCTCTCTGGAGGAAGGTTGGGGTTGATTTCCAGAGGAGTCCAGCTGCTCCCAGGAAGCGCGTCCATCGCCTTCTTCCGCATAGCTTCCATATGGGTCTCCAGATCTGAGCCACAAAACCCCAAACTTTACACTCTCTCAAGGTTACTTGCAAATGTTTACCTTCAGCTAAGAAATTAAAATGATTCCTGGTACTTTAGCTATCACTCTCAAATACGGCATATAAAACAGTTTATAAATTACAAACACTTTAACGCAAATTAACATGCATGGTTGTTCCTTTTGAATTTTCGGCCAAATCGTTTAGTAGTTTAGTGCAAAGAACTATAAAAGTTGTTATTTGAAACACTGTATGCAACCGAATTGCAGACAGGCTTCTAGTAGCTTATTAAAACTGTTTAGCAGGATCCTAAAAGTTGCACATATTTATAGAAACACAAACCATTGGATAATTTTAGTATTTTTAAATGTAAGCTGGTTTGCTGAGTTGCACAACAGTCGTCCTGGTTACTCCCACCTTTGAAGAAGTCATTTCGTAGAGATGTGCCTGTGCTAAAGCTTTGACACAGAGACAGATGTCCGTTCAGCCATGTGGATCGACGTGTAACCTGTGTGGAGGTGAGTAATCCACGAGCCGGCCCCACCTTCACCTGCAGCCGCCGCCACATGGCAGACATGGCTGGGCTTCAGTAAGCTAATCGGCTAGCTAAAGTGAAACACGATGCAAACCAAAACAAGAGCAGCGTGAGCAAACTTTCATTCTTCCTCCATCACAACAGCACTAACAGTCTAACCTTGCAGCGCTGCTAACAAAAACACGCAGCACGACCGGTTTCACTTAGGCGTCCTTCAAAACAAAAGAACCAATCTGGACCATTTAGCGGATTAGTGTGTGAAGCAGTGATGCATTCACCTTTTCTGACACTTCAGAAGCCAGAAATCCGCACCTAAGCAACCATTAACAATAAAAAGCGCTCGAAGTTGAATTGTACTTAAAGTAAGGGCAGTGCAATAGCTTTAAAAACTTTTATTTTGCCCCCCTTTTAAAAAAATCACACGGATTAATTTCATATCTTCCAAACTGTCCCACAACTGGAGAATCTGATTTGTACTTTTTATTTGTGTATGTGTGTAGATATATATGTCCAGATTTCACCCCATATACAAAAGAAACAAGATGTATTTTGCAAAGGATGCAAAAAATAACAGTAGCAGACCCTTTTTTTTTTTCTTGTTGGCTTCATTGTTTAGCTCCACAACACAGACATAAAGTGTGATATATTTTGGAGGTCCAAAGGAATATAATTTAACTGAATAAATTCAAGATGAATATGAACCGATGTCTATTTAAAGAGGGCGTTTCCACAGCAAACTGATGCTGATATCCACACACTGCAGCAGAAAAAGTCACTGAATCCAGGAAATGTGCATGATGCTGACATTTTCCTGTGTCCAGTGTTTAAATGAACCCATGCACACATGAATATACAAACTTTATATAGCTTTTATGCCAGCTAATTATCCCCTGCTGATAGTTAATAAGAACTTATGAAATATTTTTTATGTAATTTTTTGATTCAGTCAGTGATCCAAAACACAAAAATGTAAAATATAAAATGTACAATGGCATAATCGTGTTCTGATCAATCTATTAATTAACTGACCGCTTAAATGCGATTCTCAGAAATACATGCTGGGGTCATCACTGTTAAGATACATTTAATCAGTAAACTTTCAAATCTTATGTTTTCAGCTTTTTTGTGTAGAAAAATGTAAAATCATAAAGAAAATATTTACTAAATAACTGAATAGATTTATCAAATTTATTTAGGCATACACCTGTTTCAATGAAAGAAACACATCTCATTTTGTCTTAAAATAAATTTTAATGTGAAGCATTCCATGCCTATACAGTATTTAATTTTTTAAATACATTTTAATTATGTTAAAGTCTACATTGATGGTAATAATCCAGCCTGATGCGCAGTATGTTGGTAAAGAATTTTAAATACAAAATGTGTATGTTTAAAAAAAATGTCTCACACTCAGGAGCTGGAGGGCTTTTAAAACATATATTTCTTACACATTTTATTTCTATACCAAGTTTTGCTTCGTTTTTGTGGATTTTTTAAAACATTATCACTTTTAAATATTACTCCACATTTGTTTTTATATATTTATATATTCGTTCTTATTTTAAAATTCATAGATTACTGAAGCTGCTCCTACAAAACGTGGTGCATGAAAACATGATTTTATTTTGAAAACTTCACAGGAAATCGCACTTATGATCCTGCAGGCGCGATCTTCATCGTCAAAGAGGCAGTGGCTTGCCACGTGAGTGAAGAGGACCAATCAGAAAGGGGAGTGGATCCATTTCTTCTCCTTGGAGCGCATTCTTATATCTTTTTTATTGGCTGCAAGACAAATTTTGGGATATGCGAATATCTTTGCAGCATATTAAAGCTTGTCAAAAGTTTTACTTGAAATTAATTAGACTAACAATGGAAACATTATCTTCCTCATGAATTCTTTTAGAATATTTTGTAATTAGACACCCCCCTTAAGCCAACACTGTTTTCCTTCTCTGCTTTAATCTGCTTTTTGGCTGCTTGTTAAATGAAACCATATTCTTAGTATCAGAGATACTAAACCTAATTTACAGGCCGTTATGGAAAATGTCTGGCTTTTGAACCCTTAATTCAGCTCCTTACCGGAAAAGTTCAGTTAAAGTGAAATTTAATTCCTTGCTATTACAAAGAAATGTCAGTTTACAAAGACAGTTCTCTAGAGCCTTCAAACCAGCTGTTGCTACTAGAGATGGACCGATCCGGTATCGATCCGATACTGACCTAAATTATTGGATCAGATATCGGAGAGAAAAAAAAGAAAAAAAAGTAATCCGATCTGAAGTATCACAAAATCACCTCACAAAACGCACTACTTAGCATAACCCAGCTCAGCGCATCAGAGCAGTATTTGTCACGTGATAGAGCTGTTGTCTGCCAGACCTGTCAGCGGGCTGTTGGAGCATTTGGAGCCTGGCCACATGCTTCCTAACCGCTGCATTTCATCTCGGCGAAAACTATCCCACAGAAGTAAAGCAAGTGTGTAAGTTCATCCCTGAATGTTTGCATAGTATTTCCACGTTAAGCTTAACAACTGAGATATTGAGCCACAGCTGGACTGGCCATCAGAGTTCCATATTGAGGTGAAAAGGAAGCGATTAGACACAAAGCTGGAGTTATTCTGTCTTTGCTGCGAGGTTGCATCTACTTCGCTCATTCTCTCTCCCTTCCTCTCCTGTTATTACTTCAAACATGAAACTGATCAATGATAAGCTGATCGGCTTTTCTGCCGCAAGTCCCGTCTTTCTTGTTTGTTTATCGCCCACTTTGACCAGTGGATAAACAACAGCAGCACGTTTAAGCGTGATAAGCTGTTGTTAGAATGTATTTAATATTACTTTCTAGTAACAGCTGAGGTTTGCTGGAGCCACAGCTGTAAAAGCTGCTGGTGATGATATCCGTTTGGATATGTGGTGAGAGGGAAACATGAAGATGAAAGATCCTTACTAAATCATCAGAGCTGAGCAGGTGATGGAGAAACAGGTTTACCTTTTAGGTGACATGAATGAGTTGAAGGGAAGTTATGAACTGTTTCTGAGAGACAAATAACACCAGGATCCTTTTCTAAGTAGCTGACAGCTGGTAACTGTGCAGGGGCGGATCTAGTAAAGCTTTGTTGGGGGCAGGTAGGCCATTAACAGGGAGAGGGGGGCACAAAGAAATATTTTTCTTTGTTATGTCAGTCAAAAACTTTGAATAAATAATTATCTGAATATTACAACAAAAGTGGTCATCTGATTAAATGTATAGAAATCCATTATTGTATATAGTAACTAATAAGTCTAATATACACCCTAGTAAGCTATAGTACTTTTTCCTTTGGGAAGGTACCATCTGTGCAGTCTGCAATTCTGTTGAAGAAAGATGTTGAATCTATTTAAATATTGTAGAAAAATAATTGATTTCTGTGGATTTGTTTTACACTTGCATTAAATTAAAGTTGATTACATCGATTAAGGGCGGGGGTGGTTCCCTAATATTTTTGCTGGGAGTCGGCAACCCTATTAGTTAGGTTGTTTAATATTTCCACTAAGTACTCTTTAAAATACCAGAATAGGGAGGATGGTGTAGGTTTAAATTTATAAGATTGATCAGTGTTGCTAAACCATAAAATGTTTTGGGTGGAGTGTATTTTTTGCATACAGGTATAACAGAATAGCTTCAGTCTCTTGTTTTTTAAAACTTGAGTATGAACTTATACAAAATGCAGCAAGATATCTATAAAAAACTGTTTTATTGATTACAAAATACGCTATATCGGATTTATATCTGTATCGGCAGATATCCAAATTTATGATATCGGAATCGGTATTGGACATTAAAAAGTGGTATCGTGCCATCTCTAGTTGCTACACAAATATATAATTATATGCTTGTAATCTTATTATTAAGTATAATAATAGTTAGAGTACAAACTGTAGTATTATTTTTAAGAATTATTTATTGCAGAAATTTTTTTATAGCACAAGCACGAATAACTAGATAGATAAATGGATAGATACCCCTATCTATCTATCTATCTATCTATCTATCTATCTATCTATCTATCTATCTATCTATCTATACAAAAATATCATGTTCCCATGTATAACGCGCCTTATGTGTTAGGCATGTGTTAATTCGTTACAAAATAACTTACATAAAACCTTAGAATATCTGTTCAAAACCACACTTTGACCGAGCGTGCTTTTATTTTCGAGATTCTGCACGGAAGTAGCCTCTATGTTTCCCAGAACCGGGCTCTTATTTCGAAAGTTTGTCGGGAAGTGTGTCTTAATTGCGCAGGGATTGATTCGCTGCAGTGTTTTCTGCGCCCTGGGGCCACAGTGTTTTCAACGGGACTCAACTTACTACTTGCTGGACTCGCCATGGCCGCTTGAGCCTGCTGAAATATTCTTCTTCCGTTATCATTTGGTCGTAGCGTTTGGATAGACTTTTTTTTCAGACATACTTTCGCCTTCTCTTTCGTAGTTTTTATGTCAAGGAACAAGGATGCAGCCTCCGCCGAGAAAGGTGAGTTTTTGCCGTTGTAGCCCCCTGAGCTAACGTTACTTCGACGGACTGGTGCATATTTAATGGTTGGAAATTTATGCTTTGTTGCTCTTCGCCCGGTTTAAATGAAGAAACTCCCCTTTTATTCTCCAAATATGTCCTTGTTTGTTTGCTTATACGTCGATTTTGCTTTCATTACCTCTATAAATACCACCACAAGAGGAAAACTTATTTTAAAAGACTCCCATGTGCCACTTTTTTAAGGGAGAATAGCCCCGTTAACGTGCCCCGTTCCCTCTCGAACGGAGAAAGAGTCCTACTAAAGTGACAGCTAAAATTAATAAATGCATCCGCAAAAGTGCGCACATCTTAGAAAAAGTTTATTTTGTTTAAATAAATAATATTACGGAGATTTTGTTTTACATCGGCTCAAAACTGATCCAGCTAAGCAACGCTTAAGTTCAAGTAAATGCCACTTTGGCTCCCTCCTGTCCCGCTGCCACCCGCTAGTTAAGAGGAGCAGAGTTGGGGGGGGTGAAAAGCTGGAAGAAGGTCCTCATTTTATCCAACGCAGATACAAGTTGTGCTTTTATGTGTGCCGATTTTAAGAGGAGGACTAACCTTATTGTAAAACTTACAAGTCAAGTTAAGAACTGTGATGCAAATATTCCTGTAGCTCCGGGAGAGTCAGTTGACAGATACTAGTACGGAGTTTTGTGGAATTTTTTTCTCTCTAACAAAAAGTCTGTGTGCGGAAGAAAAGCACTCGTTGGCTTAAAATGGTGTATTTAAAGCTTAAAACAGCTCAGTAGGTGTTAAAGTATAGATTAGTTCTAAGTGTTTTATTACAGAAATAAGCATGAAAGCAAACAAATCTCTGCAAAGTCGGCCTCTATGCGAAAAAATGTTCTTGTGGGATCATATTTCAATAACAAGACTCAACAGCAGGGCAGTTTTTTTAACCACAGGACATTTTGTAAATATAAAGCTGTTAGGTTTTGGTTAATTTTTGTTTTGTATTTGGAGCTTTATGGAGCGTTTAAAGATTTTTTTAATGTGTTTGGACATTTTGCATGACCCCCATGAAGGGTGATGTAATTGTAAAAATCTGTGTTTTTCCTGCTGATGCCCTAGGGAAAAACTTTTTAACTGTTACACAAGCAGTCCGTTTAACATACTGATAGCTTGAAAATATAATTTACAGTGGCAGCAGTGTTGATTATTTTGGATTTTTTCTATGTTTTTGCAAATTGTTTATTAAGGTAAAGCATCTTTGACGACTTTTTATCTAGTTTATGTTATTTTAGCTGAGGTTCCTGGCCTCTGTACTCGCTCATGAAGGAATAAAGGCACTGCCTGCTCTTCCTTTTATTGTACTTAATAGTTTCGCGCCCAAGGATCAACCTAAAGATACTGAATCATATCTGTAAGAAGATATTAATTAATAACAATGATTTATTCTCACACAGCCACAAAATGTATAATAAAACAAATTTAATTCTGCTTGTAATTGTGTTATTAGCAGATTGTTTTGACATTTTTGGACAAACAAGACACTAATGAGGCTTTGCTTTCTATCTTGTGTTCCTTGGACTCTTAGTTAGCTAAAAGTTTATCTAAAGAATTATCTTAGACTAAAGACACAACATTGATTTCTTTATTGATCAGTACGCTACCTTTGTGTGGTACTTTGGTCCATAAAGCATTAAAAAAATCAAAAATATCCATCAGAAATGCCTTAAAGCATACATTGTATCATTAGATTGCTTATTTTATTCTCTCTTTGCTCGCAGACTAAACAAAAATAGATCATCAGAATATCTGATTGCTTTTCGGCCTGATGACTGGAATAGTTAACTAATTTCTCCACCTTTTACTAGCTCTCAGTAAGTCATTTCTTTATAATTAAATTGCAAGATGTGTTAAGCATCGTGTTATTAAACTTACTTATGATATTTTCAGTTATTTGTTTTTGTTATAAAATGAAAATGGGGTGATGGATCGTGTGAATTATGTGGGATGGGAATGAAACACACTATATTTTGAGTTAAGAACATATATATTTTTCCTAAGATGTCAGCTAAATATCCAGAAGTGCACTGATGGTGAGAGGATGAAGTGGTTATTTCAAAATTTTGGTTTTTGCCTGTGTTTTAGAAGCTTGGAAAACACATCAGATTCGACATGGCCAGGCTTTATTATGCATTATCTGGTTCGACAAAACCGACACCCCTGGGCGAAAGTAATTGGCGTCACAATGGTGGTTTAACTTTCTCCACCTACATCAGTCAAACATTATCAGAGGAGCTGGTGATAGGGATCTAAGACAATACGCCACAAAAAAATAAAGCTGTAATGAATCAGGAAAGAAATGTTGCACAAATGTGTCCAGCTGTGTAAAATAGACCTGCAGCAGATTAGAACCAAGCATGAAAACATTCATTTTCTGCATAACCAAGTGGATGGATGCAGATTCCAGTGACTGTGCGATACATTTTTATGCTGCAACTTTACAGAACTGCATTCCTCCATGTGTTGTTAGTAAGATACAGCTCAACAGGTTGCATGCAGTCCTGCAACAGAGAATCTATAACACACTGAGAACATGCTGTAAGCTAAACACCCACCCCCAAAATAAAAAAAAAGGTTTTACACCAAAACTCTGAACATAACCTCTTACGGAGTAGGTTATGCTTTCAGTTGTCATGGTGACCTGGCCAGGTAAGAAGAGCTCTCCGAAAACGCTGACTTTAAGCAAACGTGTGTTGCTAACCCATTGATCTTGCTTCAGGTTTCTTGTTGTTGCTTTCTTGTATTTTGGCTGGGCATATTGTTTTGAACATCATACAATGTTAAAATAAAATGATCATATTTGATTTTTGATTTGTTTTGTTTTTTTAACAGATTTTCACTTTTGAGTTGTAATAAAAAAGTGGAAAATTGACCAAAATAATGAGACAAAACCTCTAAATCAGTTGATATTAATAAGTTCATTTCATATGTATTCATACGACAAGTTCAAAACACTCCTTGTGGTCAGTAATGAGACTCTTGGTCTTTTGATTCACATCCAATTAGAAACCCAGAGAGACCAATTCTCACCTGGTTGCAGGTACTGCTTGATAATGATGGTTATCACTTCCAGTAATGCCAATTATGAGCTAAGCTGAATCAGCTCATAATTAACTCATTCACTGCCATTGACGTCTATAGCCGTCAATTGCAGTGAATGAGTCAATGGGTTTAACTCATTCACTGCCAATGGCTGGCAGTGAATGAGTTAAGCTGAATCTACCCTCTAGAGGTGCTCCTGTTGTGATTGTGCAGGATGAAATCTCCTTGGTCTACCTGTATGAGGTTAAGAAGAAGAAGAAGACAGCTTTAAGGTGTTTCTAATGAGCCTTATTCTGTTCCCCTGTTCAGGTCCGGGTCACCCAGGAGTTGAAACACATTCATGCTGAGCAGATGAGCAGATTACAGATCAAACACCAGACAGAGTGTGACCTGCTCGAAGACCTGAGGTAAGCAAACACAGGTGCATCACAGGGTACCTATTAAATGCCAAGATGATTTTTCTGAAGAGGTAAAACAGTTTCAGACTGGTCCTCATATGCAAAGCTGTTCGTCTTCTAAAAGTAATTAGAGCATTTCCATGAACATGGCCATGAATCTTTTAATCTAGTAGCTGGAGATCAAGCATTAACCAAACACCTCATGCTCTTTTCCATCAACCTTAGAAACAGCACGAAAAATTCAGTAAACATGATCACAGCAAGTGACAGCACTCAGTTGAAAAAGAGGTATTTTATTATGATTTGCTAATTGGAAGCTATTGCATTATTCACGAGAGAGCTGCTGCTGGGAACAGAGCTTCTAACATCCTTGCCTGAGTTTTGGGGTGTGTTTAAATTCCAGTATTTAAGGGTCAAAATCTTTGGCTTTGGTTGTAGCTTCTCCTCTGCTCTCTGCTCCATATTTCTCTATGAAAATGACAACAAAGGAGGGAAACTAAAAGACTCACTGCACTGAAATAAAATGAGTTTGTATGAAATAGTGAAATAGGAGTGTTTTGCACACACAGACTTTATTTGACCAGGCTGCTCAAGTATGTCTGGGGATATATAGTACCATATACTCAAAAAACACATCATTTTCTCACTGAAGAGTCTTGATATTTGAAACAAGGACACAGGTTTTCCTGCTATGTGTATCACAATTCATGGAGTTTATCTTAATTGTCCACCATGTGGATGATTCTCCAATTCATTTGTTCAACGTTGTTCAACGATGTGACCTTTCCCATCTCTTTTTTCCTTAACATCTGGCTCATTTGCTGTTATGGCACTCCTCAGGTCCTCAGCTTCTTAGCTGCTTCTCCAGCAGGTCTCCCATTCTTGCTCTACAGCTGGTATTGGTAGTCCCTCTTATGCCCTGAGATTCCTTCTACCACCACAAGTTCAAGCACTAAATTAAAAACACAAATTTGCATTGTATTTTTTTATTTTTCCTTATAGTTGTTCCTGGCACGCAGGATTGGTTAGTCAAAGCTGGTGTCTATAAGCATTAAAATTAGACTGTTTGTTGTTATGTTTGGACAAAGTGAAGCTTTGTGCTTAGCTAAGTTAGCAAACTTCTGGCTTCATGTACGGGCTACAGCAAAAACACATAACTGTAAGCCATTACTCAGTGCCGATTCAGGCATGTGCTGTTGTAAATATGTGAATGAATAAGTGTCCATAAAAAGTCAGTCAAAGCTCCTCAGAATCAGCAGATTTATTCTGAACAATGACCTTTTTGTGGGATGCAAGTTTTCTTTTTATACTATGAACATTTTAGAAATTACAGTCTCTTGAAGCACAGAGGGGTGGGCCAAAATGTGTTGCTTTTCTTATTTGCCTTTTTTTCATCTTTTTTGAGCCCTCAGAACACATTTAAGCACATTTTAGCTCTGCCAAAAGCTGCAACTAATTTAAATCAATTTATAGCCAAAGACTAGTTTTTGTTAATCTTCTCTTTCTTTTTTATTTAATCTCTTGATAATGGCACATTATCTACCTACAAAATGACAATATGATGTGATTTTATTCTGTAGTATCATTCTCATGTTTTCGTTTTACACACCTTAAAGTAGAAATTAAACCAATTATTTCTTCTTACGTTTTTCTGAGGCTATTTGAAGGTGGTTTTTCACTTTTTTAAAGAAACCAAATCCAAAAGTCAAAGTGGATTAGTCTATAAAACTGAGGATCGGGCCAAGTAAACAAATAGTGACACAGAGAGCTCTGTGTTCAGATGCGTAGGCATTTTAAAAGTTAAAAGCCAAAGGTTGTGGTTGTATCATGAGCTTTAGATTTGACAGCCTACTGGCTCCCCGCTTCCTGTCTGTGGTTGGTGGTGGAGCTGTGGACCTCCAAACAGCTGGAAGTCAAGGTCACAGAGAGCTGCCAGATGTTCTGACTACCCTGAACCATTCGCTCTGGGAGGGTGAGCAACTTTACTCAGCCAGGAACAATGTGAAACTCTGCTGGTACAGATTTTTTTAAGGGTCGCTCCTCAATCACTGACAAGAAATGATTCAGCAAACTTGAAATTACGTCTGGCTGTCAGCAAAAGCTCTGGTTGGGAAAATGGCAGGAAGTAAGTGTGGGGGTCAGTAGATAAAGGGAGCCTTGGAAATGCAGTGAAGAGGAAGAGAGGGAAGCTCCCAGGAAGTACAGCAGATTGTTTGGAGGCAGGGTGGAGCATGGAAGTCAAGTCTCGACATGTTTAACGACTTAATGATGATTTTGCTTCACTCGAATTTTTCCCAGGGCACTGACCTCTCTTCTTTTCTTAGACTTTGCATAAACTTAAGTTGAATTGTGATTAACTTCCTGTTATTGTGAGTAAAAAGTGCTGGTTTTCCACGAGCATCTCACAGAAAACCATAATTGAAATGGCAATAAAAAAAGAGCGGCGCCTCTGATATGTAGGATACAAATGTAGGGCTTCTAGATGGTGTCATTAGAAACATCCATGTTAATTATCACAGAAAGAGGGCGGCAGCTAAGGGGATGGCGTGGAATGGGGGGAGTAATAAAAGCTTAAGAATAATCAGGAAGCGTGGTCATTTGGTTTTAAGAGTGTTTTTTTTTAATCACAGTATGTTTTCAGATTCTGGTGGTTTCTGATGTTATTGCCACTGTTATCTTTATATAGGTTTAATGACTTCTCAGGCAATTATGTTACCATTTCTTGTGTAGTATCACAAAAGAATGTTGCTTTCACACATGGATGACAAAGTTCACCATATCCACAATCATTTTTCAGTACTGAGGTCAAAAATTATCAGTGCTTTAGTCTGTAATACCTCCCTAATACCAGGTTCCTGTACCCAACTTTAGTAATGCGGGTATAAAATACCTGAAAAATGCTAGATGGGATAGGTTTGTGTGGGATACGTGGGATATGTTTACATCAGCAGATTCTTAATGATTTCTTGGACCTTTATTGTCAAGTGTTGCCACTTTGTCTTGAACAGGAGACTGGTCGATTAAACTGAAGAAAGAAATCTGTCCACTCATTCAATTGCAGATGTGTACAAATATTGCATGTCTGCTAATGTTAGTGTGGCTAAAATTAGCAGGTCTAGTTGGACTTTTTTTTTTTTTTTTTTTTTTGGTTTTCGAGTGAACTTGTCTGATATATCTAGTAGAAACGTGTCTTACAACAGTAGAAGTTACGTGATGTTTACATTATTGTTTCTAGATTTTAAGGTGCAATATTAAGAGAGTCTGTGTTCTGCAAAAGTAGGACGCTCTCATGACTCATCGTGTGACGCCACTGACTAGCCAATCGGTGGCATGCGTTCTGTTGTCGCCGGATCTGGCAAAAAGGCTTAGAACGAGCAGCAAGTACACCATCGCTTTGCCGTCCTCCATTGTTGTGACTTTTGGCTGCGTTGCTATTAGGGCTGCCACAAACGATTATTTTGATAGTCGACTAGTCACCGATTATTTATGCGATTAGTCGACTAATCAGATCATCATCCACTGGACGTAAAACTACAGCTTATTGCACCAGCAGCATCTGCTCTTATATAACTATCATTAGCTTACAGCTTTAAGCTTTTAAGGTGCTAACTAAAAATAAAGACAAGATGATAGTTTATTGAATTTTAATGAAATTTGCAGATTGTTTCGGTAAAGTTTAATAAACTCCTTGCTATCTAATATATAACAGGACACCGGAGTATATTCTCCAGCATCTCACACTTCTGATAATCAGCTGTCTGCTTGATGTTTATTCAGCTGTGTAAAAACTATAACTTTAATCTCAGCCAAACCGATTTACTCAGGGACAAATAAAATACAAAAAAAAAAAAAGCCAAACAACAAAATTTTTAATTTATCTAAGTGACTCATATATATTTAACCTGAGTCCCGAAAGACGGCGGTGGGTTTGAAAACAATTTGCCGGGAGTCCGGTGTTCTCACGGCGCTAGTGACCTAGCCCCCGGCTAGCTATCGAGCTAGTGGGTAACAGACGTTTCCGAAAACGTTGGAGCGCTTTTGAAAATATGTGGTGTCCTGATAAACTGAGCCGATATTTGAGGTTTACACAGCTACATTCTCGCCTGAAAATATGTTAAACGTTTATTTTGTGACCCAGAAAGAATAATAAGAGTAATATTAAAACTAACTAGCTACCGCCATTGTTGGAAACTAAGTTGGGCCGCGCTATGAATTCTGGGACAGAGCTGCTTCTTCTTCTTCGGGGTTTAACGGCAGCTGGCATCCTTGTACATGCTGTGCTGCCATCTTCTGTTTCAGTCCGTTATTACACTCTTAAATCCTGCTATTATTCCTGCGTCTTTTGCGATCTTACAAAGCTTCAAACGACACGTCGACTATTAAATCAGTCGTCGACGATTTTGATAGTCGACGTAATCGTGACTAGTCGACAAATCGTGGCAGCCCTAGTTGCTATGACGACCCCATCCACCTTGAGGTGGTACTCAGTAGTAATGGAAAATGACTGAAACCGAGTCAAGCCAAGCCGAGTGCTTATTAGTGGAAAGGATACCAATATAATACCAATATATAGGCGTATAGCTAATATCAGCCAACATATTGGCCATGCTGATTCTTTCTTTTGTATATCCAAAATCCAATAATACTTTGTGGTAATTCCCACTGTAGTAGGTCTCTCCAGAACATTTTGCCACAAGGACAGGTACATACACTCAACAAGAAGAAGGCATATACCTCAAAGTGTCATTCTGACCATGCTATGAAAGCAATGTATGTCTGTGTGTTATTAGATGACAGTGAAAGATCATTTTGACTGGAAATCTGTATAGACTGGCAAGAAAATCTGAAGTTCAAGTAAACACAACTCATATTGTCTTTGCAATCCTGGTTTTATTTATGGATGCAAACAGTAGATTTGTTGTATGTTGTCTTATCCATAATTGTGCTGTGCTGTTTTACAAATGTACTCCCTTTTCTTCTCTTTAGGACTTTCAGCCAAAAGAGGGCAGCTATAGAGCGGGACTACGCCCAGGTAAGTAAATCTCTTTGTCGTCTTCTTCACGCCACTACTGATGCTCGTTAGCATCGCTGCTGTGCTGCCTTGTCATTTCTGTTGCTAAAAATATGTTTATTTGTTACGATGCAGCCCACCAAACACACCATATGACAGTGAGGTTGAGGATGTGGCCCTAAGAAAGCTTTTAGTTCTCATGTGGCCAGATAGCTCATGAATGGAAACCAGCCGCAGAAAAAAACACCACAACAGAGAGAAGAACGGCATCCACCAGCCATCCGCTGGCTCGTTTCCTCCTTGCTCTGTTGTTTTTGCCTGCAGCTTCCTAGAGACGCCAGTCGAATGTTTGAAAATCCCCTCTCTGTTCAGGTCTTGCAGCCCTGAGAGGAATGTCCACCAGCTCTGTGAAAAGAGGGGACTCATCTGTAGTTATCTAACCAGCAACCTTACATGTGTGTTTGCCCATGTGTGTCTGGTGCTCAAGAGGTTTATTGTGAAAAGTCAAACAAACGGAAACAGGATTAATCTGTTTTATAAGCCCAGCTGGTAGCTGAAGGGAAAGAACATCAGCAGAAGAAGAGAAAATGAATGCTTTTCTGCAGTGTGTATATATCTGTTCCTGATTGTTCTGTCATGCTCAAGAGCTTATCGTCCTTACAGAGCTTTGGTTAACATTCCACTAGACAGTGCAGTGTCAGTATTTTATGCCAACTTTACTAGCCTTTTGTTTAAGAAGCTAATTTCTTTTACTTCATACACTGTTGGGTAAAATAAGCTGATCAAGCTTTGAAATGAATACTCCGTGCCCCTTTTTTTGACTTGCAGAGAGGATGGACACTGTTAGCCTGGAAAAATTACAAGGGAAATGCCAATGAAAGTGATCGTGGCAATCTAACCAAAGACTGTTTTTCTTTTCCCTTAAACTCCATTGAAAAGTTGGTTTTATTAAGAACCCCACTGGCTTTTTATTAACAGAGGTTTTGGTTGTGACCACAGCTGTTGTAGACTCTAGAAAAGTGTTTTCTGTCATTCCAACTGGGTTCGTTGTTGTAGTTGTGCTGTTGCATCTTTGCTGCTCGCTGTATGTCAGAGATGAGAAGCTGCAGATCCTCGTTAATCTATGAAAGTAACATCTTCACTTCAGCTGTGATAGCAGCTTTTTCCTATAGATAAACAGGCTAATAAGTTTTTTTAAATAATATGTGTGGGCGTGTGTGAATAATTTTATTCACACATGCTCTTAAATATGTTTTACAGTCTCAAATGAAAGTGAAATGCTGCATGACCGGAGTCATTGACCATGACAATAAGAACGTGATTTTTATTACCTGAAATGCTTCCTTTGATTTAAATGACAGCATTGACAGCCAGAAAAATAGCATTCATCTAGCTGTTTGTCTCACATAATTGCATTTAGTGGAAACATCATCACTGACCCAAAAAACTATTTTTTTTTACTGGCCATCAGTTATGTCAAACTCTGTAGAAGGAAAAAACACTCTTGCAGCCAAGGCTGTTCAGTTAATTGAAATATGTGAATCCCGCTCATTGCCTTTGCAGAACTCCTGGAGGGGGTCATAGGAGTTTGACTGTACAGTTTGCATGCGTTTTATGGATCTGTGAGGTTCCCCAGGCAATCCTTTTGGGAGTACTGCGGGGCTACAGGGTACTGGGGTCAGTGTTACACAATATCAGTCTTTGTATAACTTAAGTGTGAGCTGTGTTGGTGTCCTTGGCACAGAGTCAAGCGCATTCTAACTGGCTGTTGGCCAGTTTCACCCCCTTGTCTCCTGTATCCTATTTGTGATCCTCAAGGAGACAATCAGAAGCTGTGAGTACTGAGATCACAATGTTTAATGCTCGATTTTTGTGTTGACCCAAAAAAAAAAGAAAAGAAAAGAAAGTTACATTTAATCTTTATTATTTGGATTTAGATTTTTCCCATAATCAGTCAACCCGACCTGTAGCTCTCCCCTTAATTAATGTGCGTACAAATGAGTGAATCTTGACCTTTGGCTTTTATACACATTCACTCGCAAGTGGAAGACCTATTTTTGTCTAGTAATGCTGAAAATGTGTAATTTACCCAGCCTTTAAGATTTTAAATGGAATACAGGTATTACAAGTATAACTTACTGGGATCCTCTGCAGATTCTTTAATCCGGTCAGATTGGCTGAGGCACATAAATGCTTGATTTTATTTAATTATTTATTTATTGCCAGATTAATCAATGACTGGTTGGACTTTAAAGTTTGAAGTTTTGATTTGTGTGGGGTTTTTTTGTTGTTGTTGTTGTTAATTAGGGCTGCCACAAACGATTATTTTGATAGTCGACTAGTCACCGATTATTTTTGCGATTAGTCGACTAATCAGATCATCATCCATTGGACGTACAGCGTACAGTTTATTGCACCAGCAGCATCTGCTCTTATATAACTATCATTAGCTTACAGCTTGAAGTGTTTGTGCTAACTAAAAATAAAGACAAGATGGTAGTTTATTAATTTTTAATGAAATTTGCAGATTGTTTCGGTGAAGTTTAATAAACTCCTTGCTTTCTAAAATATAACAGGACACCGGAGTATATGATCCAGCATCTTAAACTTCTGATGATCAGCTGGCTGCTTGAAGTTTATTTAGCTGTGCAAAAACTATAACTTTAATCTTAGCCAAACCGATTTACTCAGGAACAAATAAAATACTAAAGAAAGCCAAACAATAACATTTTAAGTTATCTAAGTGACTTATATATCATGTTTAACCTGAGTAGCGAAAGACAGTGGTGGGTTTGAAAACGATTTGCCGGGAGTCCGGTGTTCTCACGGCTCTAGTTAGCCTTGCCCCCGCCTAGCTAACGAGCTAGTGGGTAACAGACGTCTCCGAAAACGTCGGAGCGCTTTTGAAAATATGTGGTGTCCTGATAAACTGAGCAGATATTTGAGGTTTACACAGCTACATTCTCGCCTGAAAATATGTTAAACGTTTATTTTGTGACCCAGAAAGAATAATAAGAGTAAAGTTAAAACTAACTAGCTGCCGCCATTGTTCACAACTGCGCTGGGCTGCGCTATGAATTCTGGGACACAGCTTCTTCTTCTTCGGGGTTTAACGGCAGCTGGCATCCTTGTACATGCAGTGCTGCCATCTTCTGTTTCAGTCCGTTATTACACCCTTAAATCCAATAAACTCATTCCTGCGTCCTTTGTGATCTTACAAAGCTTCAAACGATGCGTCGACTATTAAATTAGTCGTCGACGATTTTAATAGTCGACATAATCGTGACTAGTCGACTAATCGTGGCAGCCCTATTGTTAATGCAGGTCTATGGACCAATTTCCTCCATTGATGCTGTCAAAACTTCCAGTGTGGGTACATAATAGTTGCTCGATTGGCTTCACACAATTTTTTAACAATGCAGAAGTAAAAAGGGACTTTTGTGGAGGAACTTGATTGTAAGAGGCATGACAACAGGACCGGGGTAGTGTGAAGGTGAATATTTTTGTGGTGAACTAAGAGAAATATTTATTTAAACTTCTTTGAGAGAGACGAGTATTTGAAATAAGCTGTTAAATAAGCCTGACTTAATAAACCAGGTTTAAATGTACTAGGTGTGTATGGGCCACACTGAATTAGACAGCTTCAATACCGTCATGTGGACAAAACACACACACATTCAAATATATTGTTCTTTACAGATTGTAAAAGAGGAAACGTCACCTCACATAAAATACATTTTCCTATACCAAGAAAATAGCAAACTTCAAAACCACTGAACAACAATAGATTAATGTGTCTCCAATTATAAATTCATCTATAACATCACAAAATGAATTTGGGCTTATAGCCTCATAGGCTGTTAAAATTATGTGCATGTGATATTAATATTTAAAGGTACTTATCAGCTGATCTGTAGGTAGACTAAGAGGAAGTAAAGCTTTTAAATAAAAATCCCTGTTGACACAAATGCAGAGAGGACATTCAAATAGAAACGTGTGAGTATCCAGCTGAGAGTTGAGCTCAGGCTGCAGATGAGCTTCAGTAACCCGGTGCATGTGTGTTTTATTGGATATGCATGCCACAACGTTTCAAACATTTTATCCTCGCATGTTTAATAAACACGAGACCTTGACAGATCTTTGTCAGATGAGAGCACATCAGGTGGTCTTTTATAAGATAACTGTGAGAAAGTATTTTGATTAATAATGAATCACCTGGGTTTTTAAAAACTTAGTTGTTCCAGATTCTCAGGTGTGCAAAGTTCAGGGGGTTTTTTTGTCTGATATTTGTAAATATTATGGCAGTAAGCTAAATGTCTTGGGCTTTAAGTGTTTGATCAGACAGAAAAAAGAGGTTGGATTAATGTCTGCGTGGGAATCGGGCATTTATTTTTTGCTGTATTCAAAGATTTAAAGGATCAGACGCTTAATGAAATGTTACTTTGAGCCATAAACAGGAGAACAGTAATCAAACCCAGTCTGTTTGTAGGGGAGTAAATTATGGCGTCCGTGTTTCCAAAATGATAATCAGTTGTTCTTCACTAACTATATGCATGATCTGATTTTTCTCAGTTTTATGTTATTTATCAGCCAAAACTTGGCAAATAAGACAACTGACGCCATCATATTTTCCTTTATTTGAGTATTTGATAAGTAGAAATCGTTTCCTTGAGCTCTGAGATGATCTGATAAGCTGTTTTTCAAATTTTCAGATGTTTTACAGGCTAAAGGATTAACCAATTAATGGGGAAAATGATCCCTAGATTAACTGATACCAGAAAATACCACAGCACAAAACATCCGTAATCAAAAGTCCAACGTTTTGTGACCTGTTTAAACATCATATGAAGTTTCTATGTTGGCTCTTTTGCTTCTTTACATGTCAAAAATGAGCCTTAAACAGAAGAAAAATAAGTTGACTAAACACACTTAATAATATCGTCTCGTATATGTATTGTAAATTTGGCAGACTCATTAATCTTTCGTTGCAGGCCTGAAATGAAGTAAATGTCTTCATTGAGTGCTGCATTAGGTTCAAAGGTGTTCTGTGTGCCTGGGTTGGGCTGCCTCTCAGTTATGTGATCAGTTAGAGACCCGCTGCCAATGGTTGAATCAAAGTGGGTCAGAGTGTCTCTGGATTTCTTGTTCCTTTTGGTAACACCCCCCTCTTTCCAGTTTTTTCTACCAAATCTCTTTTCTTTATGTGCCTTTTTCTTGGTCCCTTACACCTGCAAGCTGCTATAGCCATTAGCCGATTGCTATTCAGACCACACGGTGTGATTTAAATGTCCCCCTCTGTGTGGCTCTTCCTCTGCCATCCTCACATCCCTCCTCCTCCTCCCCTGTCCTTTTTCCCATCACACCATTCAGGCGTGTCTGCGATGCTAGCTCAGTAGGCGAATCTCTCTATCTGCAGCTCACAATGGCCTGGTCTGTAGTGCCTTTGAAGCTTTGGCACCAAGATCACCAAGACCAGTGGGTTCAGAGTCCTGGCCTAGCCTGCCTCAGGAGCGCATGACAGGGCCTGTCTTTTCACAGTGGACAGAGAGAGGATAGACGGGCTCACATTCTTGATAGGCACGAGTTAAATAAAAAGAAAATGTTGACATGAAGTGGAAAGTCAGTTTGTCTGCACCCAGATCTATCCACTCTAAATTCTGTTCTGGTGGTATTGTTCCCCAGTTTAAGCCCGGTAATCCTCACAAAATAAGATGTTTAAATGAAGTGAAGCCAATCTGTTATTACTATTATAACTGATCTATAAATGAAGTTTTGCTGCTTTTTTTTTTCTCCTGGTGTTCTCACATGCATCACTATATTGAATATAATGAGTTTGATTCTGGCATGAAATTAATACAAATAAATTTTAGGTATTTATTTTACTTTTGTGGGATTCATATATTGCTGTATGAGATAAATGTCTGCACATACCATTTGAAAACAGTAGCAAATGCTTCAAGCACACCACTAACAGGCTACCTGAGGCTGTTATCTGGAGACAACAGACAAGATTTGGGTTTTCATTTGTGTCCAGGGTGAGATTAGATTTGTTTCCCAGGTTGTAATTTGGGAAATGTGTTCCCTTTTCTGCTCTCCACACAAGTATTTACCTACATGGGACAAAACCGAAGCCTTGGAGTACAAGGCAAGAATTGGGGCTTAGTGAAGGTAGCTTCAGGTGTAACCCTCAGTTTTCAGAAAGCAGCTCACTTTTTTCCATGTTAGATCGCCATGATAAGCTCTGTTGCAGACCTAACCTGCTGTGGAACAGGTTGTGTTCAGGATTAGAGGTCAGCAGGTACAAAACCACCTACTACTGACCAATAAAATCTCTGGAAAATATCGATCCAATCCAGGAAGATCTCTCAGACCACTGTGTGCAGATAGTGAGAGGTTCTTTCCCTGATGAGCATCAGCATGAAACATGAATTCTTCTTCTTCTTTTATTCCTCTCATACTCCTCTTGGCTGCAGTTTGAAAACAGTTTTATTCTATAAGCCTCATAGCTCTTAAATTAAATTTGGAAGCAGTCTAAGCCTGTGTTTTAATGTTGTTTTCTATTCTTTACTCTGTGTCAGACTGTTAAATGCTACCGAGCTGGAAGATTGAAATGATCTTACAGTCGTGTAAACATTAATTTAACAAAATAAAAATTGTAATTATACATCAGATTATCCATTGCCTTTAATGACAGAGCTGTGATAAGACTGCTAACTTACACAGTCAAACACTTTTCCAGCCTTACTGATTAAGGCTTACACACATTTAGACAACATTTTTAATAATACGCTTTCCCTCTAAGTCATACTGCTGCTTTGTCTGCAGCAGCTGTGCTGCTTTCAGCCTGTATTATGTGTTATACTGCCAAATATTTTTCTAAAATTACAGTTTTATCTTTGTTTGTTTAAAAGAATACAATAAAATAAATATAAGCCTAGTAGACATATCCATGTTTCTGCTGCCAAAAGCGCCTTTTCCATCTTAACTCGCTTGTAGCCAAATTGGGAAACATTGCATTGAGTTATTCAGTTGATAGCCACCTACATGTGACCACTTAGCCTGATTCATGATGTTAGGTTAAGGGAAGCCAGATAAGGTGACCTGGATATGCTGAATTTCCTTCATATTTCACTTAAATGCCAGTTTTCAGTCTAGCTCAGGCTGCTACTCGCCTGCAGATTCTCATCACACAGATATGTTTGTAGGATAAATAACTAATACTAATACTCCAGCCTTTTTATTTAAAGCGTTGATTATTTTTAATACGAATACTGTCGCTCCAACATTATATGTCTGCTGCTAAAGATTAGGGCTGCCACGATTTGTCGACTAGTCACGATTACGTCGACTATCAAAATCGTCGACGACTGATTTAATAGTCGACGCGTCGTTTGAAACTTTGTACGATCACAAAAGACGCAGGAATAAGTGGCAGGATTTAAGAGTGTAATAACGGACTGAAACAGAAGATGGCAGCATTGCATGTACAAGGATGTCAGCTACCGTTAAACCCGAAGAAGAAGAAGAAGAAGAAGAAGAAGAAGAAGCAGCTGTGTCCCAGAATTCATAGCGCGGCCCGGCGCAGTTTCCAACAATGGCGGCAGCTAGTTAGTTTTAATGTTACTCTTATTATTCTTTCTGGGTCACAAAATAAACGTTTAACATATTTTCAGGCGAGAATGTAGCTGTGTAAACCTCAAATATCTGCTCAGTTTATCAGGACACCACATATTTTCAAAAGCGCTCCGACGTTTTCGGAGACATCTGTTACCCACTAGCTCGATAGCTAGCCGGGGGCTAGGCTCACTAGCGCCGTGAGAACACCGGACTCCCCGCAAATCGTTTTCAAACCCACCGCCGTCTTTCGCTACTCAGGTTAAATATATATGAGTCACTTAGATAACTTAAAATGTTATTGTTTGGCTTTTTTTTTTTTAGTATTTTATTTGTTCCTGAGTAAATCAGTTTGTCTAAGATTAAAGTTATAGTTTTTACACAGCTGAATAAACCTCAAGCAGACAGCTGATTATCAGAAGTGTGAGATGCTCCAGAATATACTCCAGTGTCCTGTTATATTTTAGATAGCAAGGAGTTTATTAATCTTCACCGAAACAATCTGCAAATTTCATTAAAATTCAATAAACTATCATCTTGTCTTTATTTTTAGTTAGCACAGACCTTAAACACTTAAAGCTGTAAGCTAATGATAGTTATATAAGAGCAGATGCTGCTGGTGCAATAAGCTGTAGTTTTACGTCTAATGGATGATGATCTGATTAGTCGACTAATCGCAAAAATAATCGGTGACTAGTCGACTATCAAAATAATCGTTTGTGGCAGCCCTACTAAAGATATTCATGTTTGCTTTTCGTCAGTTTATTCAGGTTGGCGCACCTCTCTGACATACCAAACATACTCAGTCTTCTCCTGCTCTCACCCTGTCCTGCTATTTTGGCCCTTCAAAGGTTAACCTCACCATTGGCTGAGGTGGAGGAACCTAATATATCTCCAGGGCTGAATGTGGTCTAAATAAATTACATTTTTCTGCTAAAAAAAAAAGAGCCCACGTCAGCATAAAAACCAGCAAGTGAGCCAGCATCCAAACAAGGCTCTGGCTGACAGGTGAACGAGTCCATGCACTGTGAAGCCATTCCATAGAGAACATACTTTATAGTGAATGTGGACAGTTTCATATGGCTTACTTTTATCACAGCTGTTTTTATTGAGTTTACTCTATCTGTGCCTGAAGGGTAGAGTAGAGTTTGTCTCTTCGTGCTCTGCCCACCCGCTGGTTTATAGGACAAGGTCAGGGAGGGTCACAGTCCTCTGAGTGCATCTTCTGTGAAGAAGAGACGTGTGAAATGTGGAGTGGTGTCAAAGGTGAAAGGTCACCGCTGCTTTTGTTTTTCACTTCCTCTTTTGCAGGCCCTGCAGAAGCTGGCAAATCAGTATTTAAAGAGAGAATGGCCAGAGACAGAAGAACCGTCAGACCACAGGTAAATTCCTTCTCCAAAACACACAGATGCTGCTTTGGACTGTTTATTGATTTTGTTTATTGTTGTTGTTTTTGTGTGTGTGGGGTTGGGGGGGTTAAGCTGTGGTGAGGGGTCCTTGTTAAAATTTTGTGCACTCTCAATCACATCAAGAAAAGATAAAACATGGCACGTTCATCTCATACTATGACAATAATTTCTCTTGAATTTAATCTTTTCTGGTCTCATTATTATTATTATTATAGACATGCACAAGTACAACTTTTTCCCTTTCTGCAACGATACCAGCGCCTCGCTTTGGGTATTTGATCTAAAACTAGTGCTAAGTTGTGAATCACTCCTTTACATGTAATGCAACGTAAAATGGCTTTCCTAACTTGGTAAAATAAGATATGACTGAACAATACATCCAACTATATAAAATTAATAAACAGAGAGAGAGAGAGAGTCATCAGGCTGCTGCACACTGCTGTCATTTACGGTCACACGGTTTCTCCCTTTCCTGAACTTTCTCACATTCATGCGTTGGGTGTGAAGCTGACAGACACAGCTGAAAGGAAATAGCATTAACTGAGGTGACAACATGTTGTCATACAGTAAGCGCAATAAAAGCATTACAACAAGTGTTACAACACGCCAAGGTCTTCCTGGATTCTACCTCTGACATTAACCCTTTGATCTCAAGTCATCAGTGGAAACACTAACTCTGTGCAATCAGAATAGGACATTTTTTTTCCCTTTTATGACGTTGTCTAGAATATAGTCTAGAGATAACTTCTACCTGGCCGAACACAATGACAGTGAAAGTAAACTAGGGAGAGAAGGCGAACCAAAGCATTGTTGTCACCAGATCTTTTACGTCGTGTCAGCTCACTTCGACCACAGTTTGCAATTAAAATTTAAAAAAGAGAAATAAAATTTGTTGGAGCAGGTAGGAAATACCTGCAGGTTGCCATGCTGTGCTTCCTCCATCCTTTACTCAGCACATAAAACAAAGAACAGCATAGAGTTGAATTAAATAGATCTGACCATTGTCACTGATACTTGATCCAGCTTTAAGAGCCAGCCTCAGACTCCTATTTCCATCCCTTTGGTTTAGATTGCTAAACTGTCTTTACTCTACTTCATAACTCTGAGAGAAGATACAGAAAAAACACTAAATATGTTTCATTTTTGCAGTAGTTTATTCTGCTCTGAGCTCAGGGTATCAGATATATCACGAGCTCTCCACCTGCTTCAGGTTGTAGTTAAAGTTGTTCCTCCTTTATTTGACGGAGGACCACCACAGCAGTGACCTAACCAGCATTCCAACAGCTTGATAGCAGCGGCTGAACTTTCAAAGTAAAAGCAAGGGTATTGTTCGACAATAAGTCAATGACGATGTTATCTCGGGTGATTGGGAAAAAAAAAAAAAGAAAGAAAAAATGTATTTGGGTGGTGGTTAAAACAGCTGGGCGTCTGAAACACTGAAATCCAGCTTGTCAAATGTCACATAACAGTGAGCTGATTATATCGGGCATGGACGTCATTTTGGCCTGTGGGAATTTATAACATACATTTCTCATTAATCACAAACAGACTAAACATCTAGTCTTAAATAATTATGTTAGTAAATAATGAAGCCTAGACTTTCCATCCTTCCTGTATACAGGTTGTTGCCCGTATTTACTCACACATTTATCATTGTTGGTTCAAATCAGGGAGAATTTTGGATTGTTTGCTTGTTTGCAGGGTCGTCATACATTTGAGTTCACGCAATAGCCCGATGGGACGTCAGACCATATCCTATTTTGTTTAATAGTGCATCTCTAGCTGTTTAGTTACTCACTTACCATTCGTTATGGCGAAAAATGTCTCACTGCATCAATCTGCGTTTGTTTGTTTTTAGGAACATGTATTGTGTTTGGAGGGCCTATTTGGAGGGTATGGTCCAGGCAACGCAGTCCAGAATAAGCACCTGCGACAACTACAAAGTCCAGGTGGCCGACGCAGCCAAGACAGCACGACTGCAGAAGGAGCAGCAGCTTAGGAAGGTATTGCAGGTCTCACTTCTGTCCTTACATTGACGTGCACTGCTGTACTGATGCAATGCAGGGTGTTTATCTTGTTTCCCCAAAGTGAAAAAGGGAAGTTGATGGTTTTAGAAGCATGATGCTCACATTGGTTACTGTTTAGACCTTCAGACACTAAATTATGCTGTTTAACCAGATGTTAATGGCTCTCGTGAACTAAATCCGAAGACGCCTTCTGTCCTCAAACAACCACCTGAAAATTGTAACAGTGGAAACTGAAGTCAAGTCGGCTGGCTTCCTATTTCATGCACACCAACAGGAACAAAGTGGCTTTTATTATTTTTAACACACAACACACAAATGGTGTGACATGCCCACACACTAATGATAAAGTTCTGCTTTTCATACTTGCCTGTTTCTGTAAAACAATGATGAAGTCACAGACTGCTCGACTGCAGTTTTCCCTGATGTCATTTTTATCTGCCCTTTTTTCCATTTCGTGTAGTGCTGTCATCCCCAGATAGTGTGCATCAGTTATGATTGCAGCACAAAATGGGAAAAAAATGTTGTGATAAAGTTGTTAAATTGCTATATAGTACTAATTATCCTGAAAAATAGTTTAAAAATATGATGTTAACCCCAGTTTGTTTATGTACTTTCTGCATGGTGGGGGTTATTTAATTGTGACACATGAAAGGCCCTGTTTAACATCAGTAAGGTTGATAAGATGGAAAATGAATCCCTTTCTTTTATGGGCAAATCAAAGGACAACATAACACCTAAAGCTTCCTAACGTTTGGCTTCAACAGCCCTCTGCCCAAGTGTCTGGAGAAGTTGGCTGACGCCAACATTAGGTTGTGGTGCCACAAGCTAAATTCCACTTCTGAGAGAACCATGGCCGACTTCAACAGAATCTGTCAGACTGTTTGCATTATGTGAAAGTTTCTGATAAGGAGCAGGCATCGGTAATTATCAGTTACCAGTGGCTGAACCTGTGGCTACACACAGGACCACACAGATGTGGTTTAAGACACACATGGGTTTGCCCATATGGTGACCATGTCAGTCCAGCCCAAACTGAAAGAAAACATAATATAAAATAATCATATTGAACTGTGTCGTTGTGTAAACACTAAGTCAACATGATTATGAAGTGTGTAGAAAAACTAAGTACACTGCGTGATTCGGTAGCTGCTAAAGGTGGATCTATAACTTGAAGTAATTGTTTTCTGAATTATTCAGTCTCTCACATTATAGGGGAATTTTAACCCTCTCTGCTTGAAAAGTTGGGATTTGCAGGCATTCATTTATGTGCAGCTCTATTAAGCTCCCACCACAGTTTTTCAGTCAAGTTCAGGTCTGGACTTTGATGGGCCATTCCAACATTATGATTAATTTCTTATTAAGCCATTTGATTGTAGATTTACTTCTGTGCTCATAATCATTGTCCTGCTGCATGATTTAAATTCAGCCAAGCTTCAGCTATTGAACAGCTCTAAATCTAGAGTACTTTGTTATACGGAGGAGTTCTGGAAAGTGCCCAGTTCCTGTGGCTGCAAAACAAGCCCAGATCATGACCCCTTAACTGCTGTGCTGACAGTTGGTTTGAGGTGTTTGTGCTGATAGTCTGACCTTGTGGTGATTTTGCTGGAACACTGACTCCTGGTAAGTTTGGGGCTTTGTGTTATTACACACCTGAAAGCTTCAGACCTGAAAACTTGCAAAAACTTCTGCTTTAATTGAGATGATCACAGTTGATTAAGTAGCACCTGGCTACTACTTATCCTCTTAATTCGCACAGAGGAGGTAAGGGTGTGTTTAGATCTTTTTAAATAAATGACAGTGGAATATGTCATGTGTTATTATTCATCTGAGCTTGTAATTACCTAATTTATTAGGACTTGGTAAGGACCAGATGATTTTCTTAATTTTTGTTGTGCTCTGATACACAAAACTTTGTATTTTCACATAACTTTATGTATTCCTAGTTAAAGTTTATTTTGAAAGTCAGGCAGTTTTTGAGACGAGAGGGTGTATGTACTGAAAGGAGGACTGTTCAAGACATACAAAATGAAGGTTAATGGGAAAAGAGTGCTCACAGGAGGGAGCAAACATCTGAGCAGGCGAGTCACTAAAAAAGAAACTTCATAACTTCAGACAGGCTTGCCGTTATGGTGCTCCTGGAACGCAGCGTCACTTTCTGGTAAAAATCCATCACAACGATGACGTTGCAGAGTAGACATAGTCACATCTTCCTCGTCTTCAGGTCAGTGTTACTACCCAGTGGAAAGTGCAGGTTCTTGTAAACGGTGTAATAAACAGTCAGCCTTTGAAGGGCAGAGTTCACAATACTGTCTCCTATTATCATTTAGAGTTGCTATCAGCTCTGCAGTTAGCTCTGCACGTCTGGAGTTTTTTTCCTCATCGTAATGTCTGACGCCTCTGTGCCACGTTCTGGTTTCTATTGGCCACGTTCCAAAGCCTCAGATCAGCTGAAACACTCAGTTTATTTAAATCCAGGTTGAAGACTCACCTGTTCTCAGCTGCATTTGAATAAAGCACCAAATCCACACTTTAAGCTTAAATTTTAAAACTTACATTTAGCTACTGATTTTATCTACTGTTCTGATTTTATCTGTTTTGATTTTATATACTGTTGTTTGTTTGTTTGTTTGTTTGTTAATTAGTTAGTTAGTTAGTTTATTTGCTTGTTTTATTCAATTTTAAATTATGCTTTTTATTTGTTCTTGTTTCTAATGTCTCTGTAAAGCACTTTGAATCACCTTGTTGTTGAATTGTGCTATACAAATAAACTTGCCTTGCCTTGCCTTGCCTTGCCTGCAGCCTACAGTGCTGCTCTTGTTGGGCCTCACCTTTTTGGGAGTTTCCATCAAAGCTCCTGTATGTAGCGTGTGCCATGATGTCATTACTCACTCCATGTGTTGTATAGATATGCCTGAAGGGTATTTGCATATTTCTCAGTGGTTGCATGTAGATGTAAAAGCCCTTATTTGTCTTGTTTTTTGTTCTTGATGTCTCCAATTTGATGTCATCAGTGTATTGAGCAGCTGACTGTGGTCCAAGCTGAGCTGCAGGAGTCGGTGAAGGAGCTGACCAAGAGCAGGAAGAAGTACCAGGAGGCCGAGACGATGGCGCAGGCAGTCCGAGAGAAGGCAGAGCTGGACGCAAAGTATGATCCAAATTACTCTACTCTCTTTGTTAGACTATTCTAAAGTAAAAACCCTACAGTTTAATGATAAGTATTTGTTTGTGGAAAATGTCCTCAGTAGCTCAGGGTAGTAATGGTAAAATGGTATCTATCTTCTTTTCTGTACCAAAAATCAGACAGATTCATGACTTTCTGTCATTTATTTTGAAAAACTTTCACCTCTCTCTCTCATTGGCAGCACTTCTAACTGTAACGTTTGATCCACACATGGCTACGGGAAAATGTCCCTTTGGTCTGTGACCTCTGTAAGCACTTTCCTGACAAGTTTATGGACTCAGTGTCTAATTTTAGATCACACTGAATGAAATAAAGTGCATTTGGTAAATTACAGTGATCCTAAGAGTCAGAAAGAGGTATCGTCATGGGCTATCCGCTTTTTTTCACAACCTGTGAGCCAATATGTGTGGAGTTTCTCAGTTTCTCAGTCAGATCAGAAATAAAAACCTCTTGTGTATTTTTACAATTATTTCTCCGTGACTAAATTGAAAAGTGTCTTGAAGTCACTCAAAGGGAGTCAGAAAAAGCAGACTGCCATGCTGGACTGGAAATAAACTGATTAATAATATGACGGTGATGTTGTTGACGCCTGTTTGCAGATCAGTTAATTAGAACAAACTCCAGTTTTGCTGAAAAGCACAGCAAACAATTATAACTTGTATGTACTGGGGTTCTTCTGTAAATTAATTGATTTGCCTTCCTTCTGTCACTGAAAACTCCTTCGTATTAAAAACTTGCAAAACTTCGACATAATCTCTCCTATTTCACTGAAAACAAGAGAAATTTCCGAGGTTTAAGTTAACAGAAATAGTTTCCAAATCAGATGTCACAAATCAGCTCTTAAATTCAGATCTGAGCACATTATTTTGCTCTGAGTGGATCAAAAGTTCCAACGAAAATCAAATCAATTTTAGTCGAGAGAAGAAAATTCTAAAAAAACAACATTTTTTAGTTTTATCAAACAAGCAGCTCTCAGGCTCTTTGCATGACTCGATGGAGGCACTTTGGCCTGGCACGACATGAACAGCTGGCACTTTGACTCACCACATAGCAGACATTTTTCTGCTCATCAGGAAAGTTTATTACCAGGCTGTCGGAGAGGATTGATAGCTGGGCCACCACTTACAAATAATACTATAAATGCTGTGTTTTTCTGGTCTGTTGTGTCCACACACGCACACATTCTCAGATGACTCCTCTGAGGTTTGCCTTTTGAAAATCTGCAGAATGAAACACTCCAGTAAAAAGAGAAGACTAAAGTTTAATAATTTCACACAAACTGCTCTGCTCACAATTGTTTACACTCATGCAGCTGTTATTGCACATCGTCAGGGTTTAAATTGGAAGCAGCAGGTCTGTAATCAGTTCCAGCCTTTGCTCAGATTTATTTTTTTTATCAAAGTGGATCTCTTATTATCTTAAAGGCATTATGATAGCAGCTTGGTTTAACATTCAGCAGTGGAAACGATTATTTACTCTTCTTCCTGCCGTCGTTTCATCCACCCTGCGCATGCATAAAAATCAAATGAGAGACCTGGTTATTTGTGTATATATATCGTGTTATTCTCCAGGAGTTAAACAGGTGATAATGATGTGTTTCTTGTTTACAATATGTCTAAAGTTGGGTTCAAACTATAAATCAGAGGAAAAAAAGAAGCAATGTGAAATGACTATAGTGATATCTTTGTTCGTGGTCACACTGTGGAAGGGAATCTCTTGTAGTTTTCGACATTACTGCAGGTGTGCCATGAGGTTAAAATTCCAATAATTATTTGGAAATAAATATTGAGGCTCAAACTGCATTAGATAAAAGTCATCTGACTGAGTTACCTGATTAAACAAGAGCATGGATTTTAATTTTTGATTTACTATAGGTGGACAAAGGTAATTACCATCAAACATTAAACAAGCATTAAAATTAAAAGGAAATATCATGTTCAAAATGCACATATGTTAATTTTGTAAACAATCCGCTTCCAGCAGAGTAACGTGGGTATTAAATGTGTCACTGTAGTAGTGTTAATGGTCATTACACAGATTCCATTGTTTTGATTGTTCTGCTGTCTTTCGATTTTTACTTCCTTCTAATGTAGGTTTTAATTTGTCATAATGAGACAAATAAGATACAACGCTATAGTTCATGAGCTGCTCCTGTGTCTCTCAAGCAGACATGAAGCAGATTTGATAAAATTATAAAACGAAAGGCCTCTCATCCATGACCACAGAGTATAATCTCCTTCTAGAGTCAGGCTCGTTTCGTAGTTTATCAACACTCTTCTGTTTCATTAATTACTTTACTGCAACCTCAGCTTATCTACACACTTGATGGCTAACTAATGTAAAGTGCCATTCGCAGTTTTTGCCTCTGTGGGTATTTTTCCTTTTCCTAACAGCACAGAGAATGAGTTTTATTTTGTTTTAATTATTTATTTGTTTTGTGAGTACCTGGCTATTGGATTTAGGGGCGTGGCCTGTTTGATTGATAGATGTTTCTACATGGGCAGTTGTTGGGCTCACCTTAAATAACTGTCCCTGAACTTGACCTCTCCTCCATGTGAGGTATTGACACCTTTTGGTACATTCTTGTACTTATTGTAATTGCACATCCAACTGAGGCTCCTTTTTTATGTTGTCAGCCTAAATTTGATTACTTGGTTAAACTGGAAAAGGCAAAACATTGATGCTCATGTTAAAAACCAAAGAGAAATGATTTTGTATCTTCTCTGCAGGTCAAAGCTGAGTCTCTTCCAGTCCAGATCCAGTCTTCAGAGGGCCAGCGTAAAGGTATAAGATCTTGAGTCCACGAGCCCAACGTTTAGTGGTGTTTTTGTTGTATGAGCTGTTTAAACGTTTCTTCCTCTTCTAGCTGAAAGCAAAGCGGAGCGAGTGCAACTCCAAAGCCACGCACGCCAGAAACGACTACCTTCTCATGCTTGCAGCCGCGAATGCGCACCAGCAGCGCTACTACAACACAGACCTCATTGACTGCATCAAGGTGAGCATATATACATCTGAATTGGTGGGTGAAAGGAGACGTGGTGTAAATCTAAACACACCTTTCTATCACTGTATACAGATTTTAGATGGGAGGATCTACGAGCAGGTAAAGGATTACCTGGTGTCACTGTGTCAGACAGAGCTAGAAGCCTACCAGGCTGTCCACAACATCTTCAACCAGATCCTCAACAGCTCAAATGGGGTGAGTCTTAAAGCCTGCAGGACATCCACCACCTCACACCCATGTCTGTACCAAATAGTCAGGTACAGAGACCCGTTTGTAGTTAATTAACCTGCTTAACCTTAAAGCTGAATGTGGAGTAAGAGAGCATGGTGGTGCTGTGATTAACCGTAACACTGTGGTTGTAGGTGTGAATGTGAGAGTGAGTCAGATGTAACAGCTAAGCATGCGTTTTTTAGGTAGACTCCAAGTGGTTTGCAAAAACTCGACTGGACTGTACTGGACTGTCAGCCTGTCCAGGGTGTAACCCCGCATCTCACCCTGTGACGGCTGGGATAGACTCCAGCCTTCCCACAACCCAGCGTTAGTTAAGATAAAGCGCTGTGTCAGAAAAAAGGGTGACTGTGGCTTGTAGTGGGTCAGTAAGACCAGAAAATCACACTGTAAATAAATACATTTTTAATTTTATCCTGAAATAAATGCTTGTACCAAAGATATCAACGTATCTTCATGTGTGCAGCTGCATGTTTGTTTTGTTTTTCTGTAACTTCAGCTGTTGTTTGAAAGGCCTGGCCGCTCTGGTTGTATGTCATTAGAGTAAGGTTTAAAGTTACCGCTAAGGACTACAGACTGATATTAAATGAAAGATGAGTCAGACTATATTATAAACTGTGTCCACCACATTTTCCAGGAATAAAGCTGGAACATGTGCAGCACTTTTTTGTGTATAATAGACTGGGTTTTGTTAAACCACTTGGCTTTCTGTGTAAAAATATTTTTGTCAGTCAGTTTATGCTGTAAGGTGTTTACTGCATCTGGTCCTAAAATTCAAAATTTACTTTGGACACAAACGTAATTTTGGCAAAACCAAAACAGTTTTTTCAAAAATATGCATAGTTATGCTTGAACAAGCTGTGTTTGATACAGCTTTGCAATAATGACACTTATGATGTAGGAGTAAAATAAACACTGGCACTGGTTATGCCTACTGTTGACACACTGAGAAGCTCACCAGTCATGTCACAAGGTTGTTGGAGTCAGTCTCAAAGTAAATGAGTCAGTCCCCGTACACTTATAAGCATGTTTACAGCCTAGTATATAAAGTAGTTTGGTCTTTATGGATAGTTTCTCCTTTTCTAAGAACTCTGGGAGGGATGACTTTATTCCATAAGCCATCCATGTAGAGACTGGAGTTGACTGTGTTGTGACTGGTTTGATTGATGTTTAACCCTAACACAGACCATCCAAGAAGTCTATACTTCTATAGTTTTTAATCTGCCACTTAGCAGTACATATATATACATATATATGCATGATAGCAATCCACCCTCTCATCCGAATTTGGTAACTTCTGGCTACAGAAATGTAACGTGGCAGAGGGCAAAAGCTCACTTTGAGTCCATCGCTCAGATACCATCTATGTTTTTGACCTTTCTCTGATGGCCCAGTTTTTTATGTTCATGCAGTCCTATTGTTGATCCCAGTGCAGTGCTGTAGTCATTAGGTCTGTTATTGTAAATGTGGATCAGTCCTTCTTTTGATCACTTTTGGAGGGCTCTAAAAATTCAGTAACTTGCTTTGCGAACCTTAGAAGAGCTGAAGTCGAGCGCCTCACCAACTGCTAATTAATTTAAATGGGTTGAGTTACGTTGCCGCTCCTTGGTTACACGCTGCTCCCGTTGGCCTCTCAGGTCACCTTCAGAGGGGCATCTTGTTGCTGCTCAGGCCTGAATCTGAACAAATCAGAGGGAAGAGTGAGGGAAGCGGTGGGTGCAGCGGTTTTCGGCAGGGCTCACATTACAGCCCATGTGCTTCCTGTGTCAACACAGAAACAGATCTTATGTGTGCTCTGCGTAAAGTGACGTTCTGATTTGACTGGACGAAACTCTCATGAATGTTTTATTGTTTGTTTTGAGTTCTGTGGTCTAAATATACCATAGGATCCAATTTTTATTTATAAAGCACTTTAAAACAACAGGGCCACACAATAAAACCAAACATGAAAGACAAACACAGGCCAGAGAGTAAAAGATACATAAGAGATGTAGACGTTAACAATAAAGGACTGCTTAAAGAGAGAGGTAAGGTCACAGTCAACATCTCATTTTTAATAGTTTTTCCCCATTTTAATGGGGCATAACTATTAAAAATAATGTAAGTGTATTTTTAAATTAACCTTAAGCTAGTAAAGGGAAGCCAAAGTTGGCGTGATGTGCTCTTCTTTACTTGTACCTGTTACAAATCGAGCGTCTGTAGGTCAGCAAAGGAGACCTGGCTTATTCCAATAAGAAGCATATTGCAGCAGTGGGAGGAGATTATTATAAGAGCAAGCGTTACTGTTTTAAGATTGCATTTAAAGAGAAGCGTCTTAATTTTGACAGTATTTTACCACTGGGTATCATCACCCAAATATGTAATGATGGTCCATCTCAATGTCAATAAGGAGGTCAAGGTGAGGCTGAACAGGGAACACAGCAATGTGCTTTACTGGGAAATAAACTTGACAGTCATCCTTGTAACAAGGAAAAGAAATGCCGTGTTTCTGAAAAATAATAAGAGGCAGCAGGTACAGAGAGAAAAGTAGAGGTCCAAGAATTCAGCCTTGTGGCCCCCCACCCCAGGGATGGGAGTAAAGGTGGAGGTAAAATCATCCGTGCTGACACAGAAACTTCTGTCAGAGAGGTAGGACGTAAACCACCAGAGAGCTTAGCCAGTGATGCCCACCCACCACACCAACCTATAGATAAAGATCTCATGGTCTATGGTGTGTCCATGGCCCAAGGCAGGTGTTAAGTCCAAAAACACAAGCAGCACACAGTCACCCGAGTCAGCTGCTAAAAAATGTAATTTAAAAAGTCTTAACAGAGCGGACTCAGTGCTGCAGTGAGTTTTAGTGCCAGATTGGAACACTTCCAAAATTGCTTGTTCATCCAGGAAGGACTTCATTTGGGTCTAAAAGGTTTTTTTTTCCAGTTTAGACTGAAAAGTTAGTCTGGAGTTTGGTTTGACATTTCACAGAAGAATCTAAGCTTGGTATTTTAAAGCAGGGGTTGCACAACAGCATGTTTAAAGTGAGTTTAAATTGTATTCTACGGGTCTGATGGGAGGAAAGTAATGCCTCTCAGATAAATACAATTGTTGAACTTAGATTGCTATTATCACAGTTTGCTCCCAACAGTGCATTAATGTTTCATTTTTTATACTCCAGTTCTTTCTCCTCTATAGTTTCAGTTCAGTAGTAAACTGAGAATGTTGTGTATACACCGCCTGCTCTGTCCAGATTTGACCCAAACTGTGACAAATGACTGTCCAAATGCTCCTTTTTCCTGTTTATCTGGAGTTTGGGGGCCAAAAAAAGCTGTTGTTGTAATCTCATACTGATATGAGGAAAATATAATGTAATGTTACTGTGTGGAGATAAAGATAAAAGTAGATAAAGACCTTAATATGAAATATTTGTCATGATACATCAGAGATTTTGATTTAAAGAATATAAAACTGATATTACTAAACCTGATTTCCTTCCATCTATTTTCTCCTGCTTATCTGAGTCCGGTCATGGGGCAGCAATCTAAGCAGATGCCCAGACGTCCCCCTCCCCAGCCACCTACTCCTGCTCTTCCTGGAGAACAGTGAGCCGCCACTCTGGTGCCTTTCGGTGTAAACGAGTAGCTTTCCAAATAACTCAGCTGTTCATCATGTTTCTAAGGCAGAGCTCACACATCCTTCAGAAGATGCTCATTTGTGTCAGATTTTAGCCATAGGTAAAGGTATGACTGTAGACTGACGGGTAAATCATCAGGGATCAATACCCTGCTCCTCTTTTTTCCGATACAAGTTCCTCTATCAAATCATTTTTTGACACTTGAGTCAGCAGTCCAAGCAGAGATGTCCAGAAGTTCCTTTTCCCACTTAAGTGGTATTTATGGTCACACAAATGCGTCTGACAACAGACAGGCAGCGAATACTGGGATACCACGAGATACATAATGTGTCCCAATGTGTCCAGTGTGTGTTTGGTCTGCCCTTACCAGCTCGTCTAGGAGACATTCTGGAGGCCTCCTATTTCAGATGCCAGTCAAACCACCTACACTGGCTCCTTTCCTTTCTGTGAATGATCACAGTTGAGGAGGAGAAGCTATGCTGTCCCCTGGTATGGTCTCCCCAAGGCAACTGGTTCTTGATGAGGGGCCAAACTTAAGTACAATTCAAAAGACCAAAGTTACCAGCCTGGGACCAGTACTGGGGAGGTTTATTTTTTTTCCAGAACAGCTGATAGCTGTGCCCCATGAGTTCAGCTTAAAATATCCACACAGGTACTTCGTCCTCCCTCGGGTGGGCAGAGAGCTTTATGGTCCAGGTGGTGGTCCAGTCCCCGGCTGCTTTAGCTGGCTTTAGAAAAAACCTGAAATTAGAATTAAAACTGTTTGTACCTTCACCTGTGTTACTTACAGTGATATGTTATGTAATTTGTTTACTGTCTCTTTAAGCTTTCAGCAGCTGGAGAGTTAAAAATAGTCTGTGTGAAAATAGGCAGGCGGTGAACTCGAGCCTGTGATACGTTTTTAATGTCAGGCTGTGACCACAAACACCAGAGTGGTCATCAGCATTCAGATCAGCTGATAGTAACCAGAAACGGCTTTATGGTCATTCTCTTAATTGTTATTGGCGTTTTCTTTCGTTTGACTTGTGTAAAATAATAAAAAGCTGATTTGGGTTCATTTTATAAGCAAATCAAATAACTTAATACAGCAGAAATAAACTGATGGAGTACTGGAAAATAAAAAACTATAAATGTGGCCCTAAGCTACACGGATCACTGGCCACAATTCATTCAGCTGGAGGTCTTTTTTTTTAAAGTTAATTTTAAATAGAACAAGAAATTAAAACTAAATAGGGAGCAAGCATGAACCCTAAAGGCTTTACTAAGTGTTAATTATGCAGGTTTAGACATGGGCTGATTTGTAAGCTTGTGATAAACCTTAAATAAGTATATATGTATATTTTTGTCTGTTCCCTTGAAACACATGCAGGTTCTGCAGGAGTTTCACCAGCAGCTGTTTGTGCAGAAGAACATGGCGTTCCAGCAAGCACCAGACTTGATGTTCCAGCCTGTCGACTCAGACACGGTAAATACTGATGTTTTTCTCTTTTTATTCATTATTAAATGCATAAAATATCACATGCGATTGCTTTTAGTGATTATTGGAGAAGATAAACTCGTATTTATTATGCAAGGAATAAAATCCCCAACCTTAAAAATCTAGAACTTAACATGATTTCTCTAAAATGTTCAAGTAAAACTTGAAGAATAATTGTTGAAACGATTAAAATCCAAGGGCAGCACGGTGGTTAGCACTGTTGCCGCACAGCAAGAAGGTCCTGAGTTCAATTCCACCATCAGGCCGGGGTCTTTCTGTGTAGAGTTTGCATGTTCTCCCCGTGTTTGCGTGGGTTCTCTCCGGGTACTCCGGCTTCCTCCCACCGTCCAAAGACATGCAGCTTGTGGGGATAGGTTAATTGGATAATCCAAATTGCCACTAGGTGTGAATGTGCGAGTAAATGTGAGTGTGAACGGTTGTCTGTCTCTGTGTGTTGGCCCTGCGACAGACTGGCGACCTGTCCAGGGTGTACCCCGCCTCTCGCCCCATGACAGCTGGGATAGGCTCCAGTGCCCCCCGCGACCCTGAAAAGGATAAGCGGAAGTGAATGGATGGATGGATGGATTAAAATCCAAATCTCAAAGTGTTTGGGTTGCTTTTAATACAAATTTTGTAGCATAAAATAAGGTTCGTGTTTGACTAATTTAGTTGGCAGGAGGTGTTAATCAGTTTACTGGAAAATCAATTTCTACAGAAAAGTGAAGTGAAATGTGGATCCTTCAGGTTTGAACTGCACAGGTTGGAAACCACAGATAAAATGCTGTAATGAAAACAGATCAGAGGAGATTGTTGAGAAGTGGAACAAAGCTCAACAGATGACAGTTTAATTTGTTTAGACAACAATCAATACAAAATCAGACGAGTGGAACAAGCAGCTCACGGGCATCCTGAAAGCTGAGCTGGCCGTGGCCACAAAAGCCCGGACTGGACTCGGCTCAGGACCTTGATGCTCAAAGCGGCTTTAGGCAGAGCAGATCCACCTTTTTGGTCCAGAGTTAAACATCTCAACAATACCAGATGCAGAAAAGATTTTTTGTTTTTAGACATTCATGATCACTGGAGTATGAAGCTTGAGAAGCTGGGGGATGACTTTTCCTCTAAATTGATACACAAGCAGGAAAAAATGTTCAAATTTTTCTAATTTTCTAAAAATTTGTAAATAACAGACAAAGTAGCTCCATTGTTTGAGTGTCAATAATCTGTCTGCACTGAAATAAACGACTAATTTAAATATATTTTAATCACAAAAGTGCTGCACACACATTATGGAACAGTCTGGGTAAGAAGTCAAAGCAGGAAACATAATAAGTCCTGCGTGATTGGTCTTTATCTTTGTTAGTCTGAACTATGAGCCTGAAGGCAGAACAGTGAACTCTTGACTTTGTACTGTACTCCTCGCCCTGCACAGGAACTTAGATTATTTCCCATTTTTAGTTTTTATTTACAGATGTGTCGTCTCATTTCCTCACCGTGGGACTATTTCCAGCTCGTGTTTGTTCCGACTTTATCAGACTGTTTATCTTCCTAAATAAATGCACAACCTCTACTTTTAATTTGCACTTCAGTACACACACACACACACACACACACACACACACACACACACACACACCTTTTAAAAAGCATATCTTAACTAGTTGCTGTCCTAAACACAGAGGAATATCTGCACAATATAATGACATTTTCCATTTTTATTGTTAATGCACACCACGCACTTATTCCTCTGAACTTCACACTTCCAGGAAGTGTAAACAGATAAACGTGTGCTTTAAAGATTGTCTCAGCTCATTGTCCTCACTGCTAAATGACCTGTGATTATAAGACAAGATACAGACACAGTAATCTGGAAAAGACTGTCACTGTTTTCCATTTACTTTTGCTTCCAAGCTCTCGTTTTGTCTTGTGCTTTAAATCAAAGAGTTTCGCCTCGTTTTAGAAGTCCAAACACTTGTTGTTTATTCATCTTGAGCCATAAGGTTATGAAAAGAGACAGAGTATCTGCAGTCTTCTTTATCTGCGATTACCTGGTCTATTTCAGTCATTTTAGAGGCCATCAAAATCCATCCGGCAGCATCAGGCAAAATCTACCTAACTGATATCTGACAGATGCCAGCTAGAAGATAATCCTGGTATAAATATGGAGAAGTTTCATTTGCACTCACTTGGTAGCACACGTGTTAAGAGCTTTGAGAGTTTTACTCAAAATGCTGTATTTGCCGGTGAATTAATAGAAAACACACAAAACATCCGGCAGCACTGATGTTTGCTTCTGTTTCTCCACATCATAGAGATTAAATTGGTGCAGGATTTCTGTTTGAAACTACTTGAAACAACTCAAAGTTGATTAAAGGAAACAAGATTTTGGCTTTAGATTGTGCCATGTGGGTTAAAGTTGATTGTTTGCAGTTTTTTTTTTTTGTTTGTTTGTTTTTTACCAGAGCTTTAATGTGTTTTTCCAGCCCTGTTAATTTCACATAGATATCTCCTGTACTTATAAAATTATGAATCTTCAAAAGCGCAGTTGAAAAAGTTTTACATTTCAACCCACCACTATGCACTTTCTGCGCCTATAATTCATAAAAATGTACTAAAGTTATTACACATATTTATTCAGCTGATTGTAACGGGGTCATGTGGGGTCATGTGTGTGTGGAATGACCCAGGATTTTTATTTTATAAAACACCCGCAGGTGTGAACCTCCCTTTCTACATGATAGCCCTGTGCAACAGGTCATGTAACATGTAACAAGCCTTTAAAGTTAGGTAAGAAGTTTACAGAAAATCAAATGCTGCTGTTCACCTCATGATTGCCACAATATGGCTGGTGAAATGATGCTGCTGAGATAACTTTCCAGAGTTGCTAAATTCTTCCTTCCTTCCTTCCTTTGCTTCCCTCCGACTGTTTTGCATCTGTTACGCTCTCAGCTTTATGGATTTCTCAGTTCAACTTGACTGCCTGGATCGTTTTTCAGTGCCAGTTCAGGTCTGAAACCTCTGCTGTGGTCAAAATCTGCCCTGGGAGCTGCACTTTAGGTGATAAAAGTAGATATGCGTATATAAAATACACATCCTAAACTCCTTTACGAGTCCCATTGCAGACATGGGTGCAATTCAGGTGCACCTGCTCATGAAGCCCACAGTGTCTCCTTGTGGCCTTAAGTCTATTTTAAATAATTTTACAGCCACATTTGGCTTTTATTGGATTCTTTGCCCACTATAAAAATTAATGTAAATGTCGGCTTTGGTCCAAAAATATTTTCCTATCAGGCTGTAAGGTGATGCCGCAGGTCTGCCAAGCGATGTGTTACGACTCTCGTTCGTGGATGTAAAAGAGTCCGATTCTGCCGCCCAGCTCCGCCGCTCCTTTTCTCCTCTGCCCCGCCGGACAACACTAGACAATTTGTTCAAACTGCAAACGCTGGTGTTGTTTTCATTGGAAGTCAAACAAGCAGCAGCCTGTTCCTAAAGAAAACATTAGTGGTGGAGAGCCTCCCCTGCCTCTGCACCCACCCCTGCACCCACCCTTCATACCACTTGCACCAGACGGAGGGATCCGGTAAGGAATAGAGCTGAGTTTGGGAGGGAGGGAGGGGCAGGAGGTAGGCCGGGCCCTGTGAACAGCCCATCTGTGAAAAGGAGGCATTGTGAGCGGGCCTCACCAGAGTGCACTGACCCCCACACTCCCTCCACCCAGCCTCTCCCCTCCATATTCAGACACACAGCTGATGTCATGTGGAAATGGCTTAACTCATTTTGTCGGGGTTTAGAAGAAAATAAAAACTGAAGACCGTCACACCTTAAAGTCAACAAATATAAACCTGGCTCGTCAGAAGTCTTGAAACTCACCAGCCATCCTGGAGCAAATCAGGGCAGTTAGTTTAAAGCCTATATCTGTATCATTGGGGAAAAAGCTGTAACTTACATTTCAGTGATGACTGGGATTTAAAAAATATTTAAAATTCACTGAAGAATAAAACACTTCAAAAACTGTCTGAATGATAATACTTACTTATTAGTAAAAACATTCTTTGTTATACGCTGGTGTGTTTGCCTTCGCTGTAGGTGGTGCAACTGCAGAAAGAGAGCGGGACGGCAGAGGAGCACACTCTGGATAAGGAGGCGAGGAAATGGGCGAGCCGCGTGGCCCGAGAATACAAGAGCATCATCCACACTCAGAAGGTGAGAACCTCATCAAACACAGACAGTTTCTGCAGGCATCAGGACAAAGATGGTGTAACCATGTCAGTCTGTGTGTTTACTGAAGTACTTTATTTTCAATGTGCACATATCCAGTGCACAACTTCTCCCTGTAATACAATTAGTTCCTTATATTACAATAAAACAATAAGTACATAGGGTGTCAATATTCTGTTCTGTATGCATGTGGTGCAAATGGGTCATAAAATGCAGCAGGGGGGGGAGGGCTGAAATTGTTTAATTATATTTTTATTGATTAGAAGAAAATAGAAACAAATATAACCATGTTGTTCATGAGACGACTAAGAAAGGGTTTATAATGCTGACATGGTGTAACAGTCCAGACACCGTGCAGTGAATTAAGTTACACATGGTGTATGTAAATGATTAAAGCACAGTGTGGATATTTGAAAACACAGCAGGTAACACTGGTCCTTGTGCTCCGAGTAAAGCGTGTGATCGTTATTCACAGCGATCCAGTAACCAAATTAGTTCAAATCGAATCAATCAGTCAGTCAAATAAGATGTTATATTTAAAACATCAGACACACATAGGAGATAGGTTTTCTTTATTGTAATGACATAAGCATGTTCTTTTCTTGTTGTGTAAGAGACGATTTGACTGGATGGCTGTTCGACACAGAAACGTCCTGAAAGTCCATCTGTTACAATCCGGTCAGTGCCAGCGTAGCAACAGAAACAACTTTTCTGTGTTTTGTTAGATTCATAAAGCGAAGCAAAAAAATTGGCAAATTCAGGTTTTAAACATAAAACACCTTTAAAAAAAAGGTCCCACAAAGTTGATGTTTAAATTCTCTTTTAGGTAAAAATCTGCTAGTTTTAGAGCTACAGATTACTTGTTGAGCCCTCTATTGTTAAAAATAGATCCTGTAGCTTTTTTGGAGAATCTGTGGATTTAAAAATATGTTAAAATTAGCTGGTCCATGTTTTCATATTGAGAAAAAATGTAATGCTAGACCTGCCCCCATCCTGCAACAGCAGCAGTTGAGGCAATATATTTACCCATCAGTCATGTCTAGGTAGCTCTGGCTCATGTTACTGCAGCCTTCTAATCAAAATCCATTTGCAATCTCTATTTTAAATTTTATTTTATTTTTTCTCACTGCCTTGAGCCTCTTCTGTTTAAGCACATTTTGCATGTAATGAAATGTGGTCTATAAATAAAATTGCCATTGACATAAATTTCTATGCCTATCAAAATTATATCCTCAGCAGTTAAAGGTATGAGTGGTGGTCATTTTTGTTGCTTTTGCTTTCACTATATAATGAATAAACCCATATAAGGAAAAGTCATGAAATATGATGATCATGGGATTTTAATTTAACAGTTTTTACAACTCCAGAGGAGTCAAAATGACCCTTTGAACATGATGAGTGTGACGTTCTGCAAAGAGAAGGAAATCCTGTGGGAAGTTTAAGTCTCTGAATCTAAACGTGCGTGTTATGTCTGTGTTTGGGTTTGGAGTTATTCTGATGTGGTTTGTCACCCCTTACTCACACAATCCCTGGAAAATCTTTGCAGGAAGTGTACAAAATGCACTGATGTGTCACTTTTTTCCATTAAACTGGAATTTGGCCTTTAATGCAGCGAAGCCGGTCAGCTGGATGATAATAATAAACCTCGGCATCATAAACCTCTCCATATTTTACTGTGGCATGAAAGGATAAAATTGATAAGAGCTCCGTCTCACTGGTTTATTGCGAAAGCTTGTTTAAGATAAGTGAGCACAGCTCGTGCAGCGACCTGTTTCCAGATGTCCCTGGTTATGTTGATCGCTTTATTGTTGGACCGTTTCCATCTATTCCATGTGTTCCTTTGTATACGTCACCACAATAGTTGTAATTGTTTTGTTTTCAGGCCCTGGAGGAGTACGGGACCCAGGAAGCTTCGGAGCCAAACAACAGCGAGCTGGAGATCAAGATGGAGGTGGCCAGACAGAGTCTCCGGAGGGCAGAGGTAACCTTTGAACTTCTAGATCAGCGATTTCTCCATCTTCTGAATCAGTTTCTCCTTATTTAAAGTTGCCCCAGTGCGCCACCTGCTGGTTTGAAAGGTGAAGTGACAGATTTAAAGGATTAATGTTCTGTTAGAAGAGAGCAGAGGTGTTTAAAACACACTAAGTATTTATTTTATTTTCATACTAATCTCATTGTGTTTTCCTTATTCTTTGGGGGGTGGGGGGCTTGTCAGTGGGTTGTGAAAGTCTGGTGGTCTTTAACTCACCTTTATTTTTTTTTTGCTGCTAGACGGTGAAAGCGAAAGCCGAGGCCCGGCTGGACCTGCTAAGGGAGGCGGGAGTCCCGGTTGAAACGTGGCTGAAGAGTGCGATGAACCAGGTGATGGAGGAGCTGGAGAACGAGCGCTGGAACAACCTCAGTACCCACGATCCTTCACTCTCCGTAAGATGAAAACTCCAATTCCACAGTGCTGTAGTTTTGAAGTATATGCGCTGTAGATTTGTGCCCTAAACGCAGATGTCGGTCTAACATCTGTAGGTAACAGCAGATTTGGAGCGAGAGGATGAAGAGGAGATGGAGGACAGCGGTGAAGTGTTGGATGACAGCAGCTCCAGCCCCTCCAGCACCTTGAAAAACTATCCACTCACCTGCAAAGTGCTCTACTCCTACAAGGTAACGACACACGCTTAAGCAGGGTCGTAGCCGATGAGTCGGTCAGTGTCCAGAGAAATGGTGACATCTACAAAGCCTCATGTGTTTGCAGCGAGTCGAGTCTTGAGTTTAGTCTTCTAAACAATCAGTGTCGCTGCTCTGGAAAAAAACACTGTTTGATTGCTGTTGCATCATCTCTGCGCTTTCTGTATTCATAACTCGTTAAAATACGTGTAGAGGCCGGCCTTGCCTCGAGCTCGAGGCACGGGGAGTGCGTGTTGGGAGTTACAGAAGCAGTCATTATTAGAAAATGCAGGAAGCTGGCGTAGCTGGATATTGATGGATGAAGATTCAGGAGCCACAAAAAATGTGTTTTTAGAAGAACAGTGACTTGCAGAGTTACACTTTCTGTCCTCTGTAAACCTCATTTTCATGCAGAATACATAAAACGGCTGGAAGTGAAAGGAGAAGTATTTTTAAGATTCTGTAGGTTTAACCATATTTTCTGGTAATTATATGATTAATATTTAAATCTTTTTAAGTGTCTTGTCATGTTCTCCTGTGCCTCTGTGGTTCTCTCCAGGTTCCTCCTTCATTAAAATACAAACTTGTTAGATTAAAGCTTCTGTTACTGACGCAGACAGCTGGAGACTCATTCCTGTTATATTTTCTGAAAGTGTGGTTGAAGTCTGCCGTCTGTGTGGTACATTATAATGTGGATGCTCACTGTGTTAGCCTACAAAGCTGGCTGGGATTTCCTCCATCCCTGCTGGATGGATGTTGTCATAAAATCTATTAAGATGTAAATACGGTTAACCTCTCCACACATGATTTAAATATTTGGATTGGACGTGGATCTTTAACATGTCACCAATTATAATTCTGATTTTGAAGTAAAGCCACTTTTTGTTTTGGCTGTTTTTAATCAGTTCCAGTCGTTAGATTTACTTTCCCAAACTTTGTGGCACTAATGATTCTGTGTCCAGGTTTAAAACACCTGCTCTCTGAATTTGTACAGAAATTCTACTGTAAGTCTGAGTTTTGTGCTGCTTTGGAGTATCAGTTGTTTTATATTAACTGAGTCCTGAGTAAAGTGTGGTATTAATGCAGGCATGGTCTCAGTGTTTTCTTCAGTGTTCTGGCTGATGTTATTGAAGCCACAGTGAGCATTTTTGTCCGTTCACCAGTGTGGCGGTATTTGAAAAATATACATCACGGGTGAAATGAAGATGGTTAAACTGTTACATCGCAGCTTTAATTTGAATTAACGTGTTTGTCTGTCTGCAGGCTTCTCAGCCGGACGAGCTGACCATCGAGGAGCAGGAAATCTTGGAGGTCATCGATGATGGCGACATGGAGGACTGGGTCAAGGTACAATAATAACACAAACACAGTTGTGTAGCAGAAGCACTCTCCTGTTTGAGGGTTGGTTGTTTTGTGTATTAGTTCACTCTCTGGCTCTTAGACTGTTTGACAAACATTTAGTTTCAGTTTATATAAGAACTCGCACCGGTACAGACTATCTACTGGACGTTTTAGTGTTTCTCTGGGATCAGTTGGTCTGATGTGGCTTCAGGAATTAGAATAATTCAACTAAAATGCGTGCGGTGCATTGAGGCAGGTCAGGTTGGCTTGGGTGGTAGAAGCTCTGCTGAACATAAAGACAAATCAAAAAATGTACAAATACACAGTTCTCTGCTTCTTTTTTTGGCCTCACAGCCGTAAAGGGCTGATGGGAGATTCTCGTCACCCAGCCGGGCAGGCAGGTGGGCGGGCATGGCACCCAAGTTTGTGAATGCAATAATTCATGAATGAGGCAGTTTTTAAATTCATACCTTAAGTGCAGCTACTGAAAATCTGGGCCAAATCCTGATTGATGGTGATCCAATCCTGCCTCAGCAGCACTCCGGTTCGATCACAGTTTGTCAGCTTCTGCTTTTTAACAGCGGTTCGTGGACTCTTGATCAGTTTTAGATCTGCGGAGTGACCTGGTCATGGATATAAAATGTTAATTTCATGATCTCCCAGCTACTTAGTTATCATTTTCACTTTGTTTGTCACAGACTGTTACAAAGTTGCTCCTGGACCTTTGGGAGAAAATTTGAGAAGTCTTTGAGGACATTTTTCGGGTGGTCAGTGGTGTATACTTAAATGTAGAAATGTCAGCTGTGGATGCTCCCATCATTGTGTGAAGTCATTCTTTTATAAACGCCTCTGCAGAGCTGCTGGTGTGTAGTCATTGTGTACTTTGTGTGTGGTTGTTTTCAGATCATTTCCCTGAAGGAACATTGTGCATTGTTGCTGTTTTACTTTTGTTTATTGTATAAGTCTGGCTTTCCTGTGAGCCATTGTGCAAATGTTCCACGTGTTGAGCCAATATTTTATGTATATTTACTTAGGTGATTATCTTTTCATATACAGATATAGTGTTTTAATGGGGTATTTATTTTAATGAATATAATCATACATAAAAATGTGAGCAATATCATTTATATAGATCTGTTTTAGTGCTGTGATTCCCCACAGCATGCCCCAAAAGAGATCCCAATACCTCTGAGTGTTTTCAATCTGAATGAAAATAAGTAAGCAGCGGGAGGGGAGGCCACCGGTGTTCATGAAATCAAGCTTCATGAATTCAGCAGAGGCTTGTTTAGGATTTTAGATTTCTCGTTAATTCAGGAAGAGAGAACAAAAGCTCTCCTATTATTCTCTTTGTGGCTGTTATTAAATTCTGGCGACGATGCAGTGATATTGTTACAGCCCTACTCTTTACATCTGACTTTATTTTTTCTCAGTAGGAGTTTTCCTGTTGAAACATTTTTGGCTGTTGTCATCGTCTGTGTGCATTGTCTGTGTTTCCAGGCCAGAAACCGTAGCGGACAGGTGGGCTACGTCCCGGAGAAATACCTGCAGCTGCCCTCCTCCAACAGCCTGCTGAGCATGCTGCAGTCGCTGGCCGCGCTGGACGCCCGATCCCATTCCTCCAGCAACTCCACCGAACCTGAAACCGAACTCCCAACCGGCTCCGTCAACGGAGACTCCAGTGGTGAGATCCGCCTCCACCAGATAATATCGGAGTTTTGATTTCCTGCTTTGTTTAACACCCTCGTTGCCACTGTCTGTGTTGCAGTTTCATTCGCAAAGGCTTTGTACGACTACGCGGGACAAACGGAAGATGAGCTGTCGTTCCCAGAAGGCGCCATCATCCGCATCCTCAGCAGAGAGACCCACGAGGACGATGGCTTCTGGGAGGGCGAGTTTAACGGCGTTGTTGGTGTGTTCCCCGCAGTTCTTGTGGAGGATCTCACCGTGACCAGCGAGAATGGAGATGGGCAAAGAGACGGCAGCGCACAGGTAGGCTCACGCTGACTTAGCCGCTAAATTTCATGTTCTACACAATTAAAGTTCTTCTGGTTGAACGCACACACACTGTGTCCCCCCCCTGGATCAGCTGCCTCTACATCAGCGCAGTACGAATCTACTGTAGCAACTTATTTATGACACTAAGTCCTGTGTTGTTAAATAATTTATTTATAAATTATAAATTTATATTTAAAGTTTGCACACCTGTCCACTGTTTGTGTTGAAGGCTTCCCCGTCCACACTCTCTCAGTGCGACCGCTCCCCTCGTGGTCCCTTCCAGCCGGGACCTCTCCACAGCAGCCCCCTTCAGACCCCCACGGTGTCCTCTCCAGTGTCGAGTCCCTGCAGCGCCACAGCCTCTCCCATTGGCCGACCACCCTCCTATCACAACGGACACCACAGACCGCCGCCGGCTCCACACAAAAGCCCCTTTCACAGTAAGAATCTCTGGTTTGTCTGTGAGTGGTTATCTGTAAGAAAAAAGGCCGGTGTGAATAATAATCTGCCTTTTCTGCCCTCTTCAGGTCCAGCACAAAGCTCCCCCCAACCCCCCAAATACCCGGAGAGCGGCGGTGGCACCATCCGACCCGTGAGTAAAACCTTCTGTGGTGACGTAAACGGCAGCAGACTTTTTTTATCTTCATTTTAACTGAGCTGGTGGATTTTTACAGGTACGTGCCGCACCTCCGCCCCCGAAACAGCATCCTCGCGGGCAGGTGAAGCGGCGAGAGGAGGTTGAGATCACACTGGTGTGAAGGCGGCACCCCCTCGAGCAGGGACTCGTAAAAACACTCCCAAAGGAAACCCAAGGAAACTTAAAAACTCCTGAAGACGCCTGGAGACGGAAGAAGCCCCCCCACTCGGAGAAGGAACACCGCTGCGCCTTTTTCTTTTAACTTCCCGTTCAGTGTTCTTGTTTCTCAACACTACTTTACCCAGAGTTTGTACAAGGCTTCATTCTCACCCCCGAACAGTTAATAAGGTGATAACGAGCAAAAGAAGTTGATAGAAAAGTTAACATCATTTTATCCGTTAGTAAAAATCGGTGTGTTTGGACTCGCTGGCTGATATTTTAGGGAGTCGAGCTCATTCGTTCCCTTGCAGAGAGCTCAGTGTGGTATCATTCATCAGTTCGAGCAGCCAGTTTGGTTCTAAAGAACATGCAGCTGACTGAATGAGGCGTTTCATGATATTTAACACACCGACAGCATAAAACAGAGTCGTTAGCTGATGAGCAGACCCTGGATTTTCTGTTGTTTGAGACTCGGTCAAAGCAGCGTTTCATGTTAAAGTAAAACATGTTAGACTGGACTGACCTTGACCTTTGAGAGGTCAAACTGAAGGAAGCGTTTGTGTTTTACCTTCATTTTTCTGTTTACGAACAAAGACACGAGTCTGCAGAACATATCGTCGATCAGGCCTCTGTTCCCTAGATTTAGACACATTTCACACCCCTTCAGTGAGTCTTGATAATTTCAGCTGTGTTCTGAAATGAGAAACTGAACCCTTGAACACATCAGGGAACTGTTCACAGAGGTCCCAGAGACCTCTATAGGACCAGAAGTCTTTTGCAGACGCAGGGGTCGCCCCCTGGTGGCCTGTAAATAGAGTACAGTTTTTTTTTGTTGCTTCACTTTTCCAACCTGGCAGCTGTGTCAATGTTCTGATGTCTGTGGTCCTTTTTGGCAGTGACGTCATTCCCGAGTTTGTGCATTCCAGCAGGAAAGTCAGAAAAGCAAAGTAAGATGGGATTTATTTTAGCTGCAGCACGTTCATTGATAGAATGTGGTAAGTGCTTAGCGTGTGACTCATATCATGAGTCACAAATACAGGTGAGTGACAGAGCAGATTATGTTTATGTTCTCTGTCACCATCTTGGATTGTTGAGGCTGCTCTGACTTTCCAAGAAGGAAATACTAGTTGATGAAAATTACTACTGGGAGCTCAGGAATTCCGACTTCCGACTCAATCTGGAATGCACCGTAAGCCAAGGGCCAACAAGACAACAGCAGATATTTTGACGTCGCCCCCTGGTGACAGGACAAGGTTACAGCACCATTGTACAACCACACCGCTGCCTTCAGTGACCTTGCTTTTTAGGTGTAACCACTTTTCTGTATCTCTGTTGACACTTAATCGCAAAAAAAAAATGTTGTTTGAAGTCAAAATACAAAGAAATTGTGAGCAGTAATCAGCAAAAATAGTCTGATTATCGCTAATTACATCATCAGCAAACCATAAATCAATTCTCTGTTTTCACCTGAGCGATCTTTAGGCTGCCCGTGCTCCACACGGGTATTGCACATGTTTTCACTTCTTTTTTGGCTTCATTAGTCGATTATGTTTAAGATAAACTGCCTCCTGGCTCTGGTTTCACATTAAAGTCTCTGCAAGAAAACAGATAAGTTCTTCCTTCAGCTCGTCGGAAAACATCACTTCTAACTGATCGTGTTATGGATGCCTTAGCTGCAGAATTTCTCCTCGTTTATGGATTGAAGAAAGAATTTTTTATGTTATAGTTATGATTTCGCCCCCGTTGTGTCTCACGTCATAGCTCTTTGTTACCACCATCAGATTCACGTCTATGCAACAGAGCTGCACTTGTGAGCAAACCAAAAGTCTCGAAAAGAGGCTGGTCCTCTCCGCCGACACACGTGACCGCTCGCGGTTACACAAACAAGGGAAAAGTGGCAATTTTTACCTGTGATTGTTTTGGATCCCTTATCTTTTTTTCCCCTTCTAATGTTTAGGAAAAGTTTAAAGTGGGAAACATAGCACTTAAACACACAAACACACAGTCTAACTCTTTTGTTTTTATGTTGCATAATACAGAGAAAAACTGTTTTTACGACACTAATGATGCCAGTAACAGTCGCTGTTGGGGAGGACAGTTTACACTGAGCATGTGCAGTTTAAAGATGCCTTTTATTTTTAAGGAGGAAACCATCCTGAGCTGCTAGCTGTCCAGTTTAAAATCTATAGTGAAGCACTTTCTGATGTCTTCTTATTCCTTTTCAGTATTGTGGATGTTTTGTTCAATATTTCCTTTTTGATGTTTGTTTACCAGCCGTATTGGTATCAATATTTCCTGTTATTTAGCCGTAAATAGCCATTGTAGTGTCTTTGATTGAGATATGACTTATCGATCGTATTGATAATTTACGGAGAGCTTAGAGATGGATATCTGTGTAAGTAATGGCACAGCTTTTTTCCCCTTTTTTGTTTTTAGAATTAAGATTTTAAGAAAAGAAAAACAATTAAACCGTAGCTGAATCTGATCAGAGGAAAAGAGGTATCCGTCAGCTGTGACGCTGCGTTCTCGTTGATCTCCTTGAGATCTGAATGACATCAAACTTATTTTTGAAGTTTGCATTTACCCTGTTGTATTAAAAGAATACCTAAAGTTTCTTTTCCATTAGAGAATTTTTTGTTAACCTGTTTACTGGTCTCGATTATGCATCAAGTCAGAATCTGAAATTCATTTTCTTAAAGGACGTAAAAACTCCCACGTTTTACAGCGTCGGCTATGCGGAGGCTGCCAGGCGTCGTATTTACACACCCATGGATGTTTAACTGTATTTATTGCGTACAAATAAATGTGAAATAAAGATAGCTTAAATGGAACAAGACTCTGTTTTAACACTTAATTCCTGCATCCACCTGTTTAAAATATATTATTTTAAAATAATGTGTTACATGACTACACAGGATGTTTCAGCTCAGTATATAGCAAATATAAAAAATATAAATAATTCTTAATTTTAAAATAAACATTAATCTGATTATTAAAAAAAATTATTGGACAAAAAGTACATGGAAAAAAGAACTCGGTGAAATGGAAAAAATAAAGTTCAATATCTTGAAAATCAAATAGAATACAAGCTTTGCTTTCTTCTTTCTTTTCAGTATTTATCTGTTTGTATAAGACAAAAAGTTTATCATAAGTAACTGAAAGTCTTTCGGCTCTTCGAAGAAAAACTGATGGGATCCAACAAATAAACATAACTAAAAACTGCAGCCTCAAAAGTAAAACTCATTTGTTGCTGATAACGAACGCAAATCCAAAGTGTTGTTGTTCCCACCCCAGAGCAGCAGGTGGCAGCAGCACGATACAAAGGAACTGTACTGTACTGGGATTTCTGTTCGTTTTTGTTTTTATTTTCCAAAAGAAGAAGCTGTTTTTAACGTAAACTGTTGATTATAGAGTTTTTTGTTGCAGTTTGACCTTCAGCTGAACTTAATGTTGGGTTTCTATTGATTTTAGAGAAGCTATTCGCTGAGAGGTTGTCATAATTCATGCGTGAAAGGGTTAAAACATATCCTTTGTTTCATTTTTTAGTGAAACTCTGGTAGAGTAGCTTTGAAACTGATAATTCAGCATATACTAAAAAATAAAGCCTTTTCTTACAGTATATTTGTGTGTATTTTATTTTGCAATATTTCTAATTACCACACTTAAAAGTGAACAGCCTATAATGCTATCATGACTCATCACTCAAACGCATCTTTTTCTCTCCGTTTTGGCCTTCCGTCCACACTGAGACAGCGTTTTCGGTCAAGGAAAGCGCAGCGTTTTGAAAACGCTCTCCAAAGCGTATACATTTGACGCCGTTTTCGCATAGCATTGTGGAAAGCGAACTGGAGCCTTTTTAAAAACAATGACACATTGTAGACTACGTCCACACATACACGGGTATTTCTGAAAACTGAGATTTTTCGTTTTTTTTTAAAATCCCATTCACACCTCAACACCAAAAACGAAGGAAAATGCTGCCAGGAGCATGCCAAAGCAACAGGTGGCGCTATATTCCTAACCGTGTAGAAATGTTGGCCAATCAGATGTCTAGACGCCTGGGCGGGAAAGGGTAAACAAAGATGGCGGCGCAAAGAAGCAGAAGTGAGTCCTATGTGTGGAGGGACCGTAACTGTCTGTGTATGTAAGCATTTAAACACTACAGAGAGTAAAATTAACAGTATTTTGTCTAAGTCCGCCATTGTAGAAATTAATTTCACCGAAACAATAACTTGGCGCACAGTGTGACGTCAAAAAAGGCGCACACCTTTGACCCTGCGTTTTCTCCGTTTTCCTTGTCCATAGTAAACGCAAAAACGGAGTTCTTGAAAATCTCCACCCAGGCAGGAATTTTAAAACTCTCCGTTTTCAGTGGACGAAAGGTACAAACGCATAGATAAATCTACGTTTTCAAAAATACCCATACATGTGGATATAGCCTAGTCAAGTGATGCAATCATGTGATAAATTGTGACAGCCCCGTTAAAGATTAATATCAGTTTGTACATCCTCCAGATAGCTTTTCTTCAAATTCTTTAATTCTCAATCGCTTTTGCAACTTTGTACTTTTGTATTACTCGCAGCAACAACTCCACCTCATTGTTAGTCCATTTAAAAAAACTCGTCGCTTTTCCTCGAACTTTTTGCCGCGATGTTTCAA